AAAATGGCTTTTAATTACTACAAAATCTCGACCGTCTTATTGCAAAATTTACCTACATATGTATATTTTGTATATACGAATATGTTATATGTACATGTGTATGTATTTTAATTGTTGCCTTCTACTTAATGTTTACAAATGAATATTTGCTTTTAATGTTGAAAGCTATTTTGTTATGGAAGATTCCATTGTACCAACATCTGCATGTATGTATGTATGTAGGAATGTATGTATGTATTCGTATGCACTTTGGCGCTTCAAAGTCTGCAACACGCCTTTGTTTTCATATTTGAATGTAATTTACGATGTAAACAAAGAAGGGCCATAAAATAAGCAAACATAAACCGTTATTTTGCAAAATTTCTTATTTTTTTCTCAACCGATTTTTGCAGCGATTAATTAAGCGGAAATCTTAAGATGATCGAAATTTATTGTTTGAACTATGTATGTATGTATGCATGTAGGTATTTATGTAAATAATTGTTTATAGTTGCGAGATTAATTATAACAATTTCCGCTCGGCAAATTTCGCCTGGTTTTTTTTTAAATATTAAAAAAATTAAATATTATTATTAATTATTAAAATATATTATATAAATATATATATATATTTTTTTTATAAATTATTAGCTAAAATCTGTTTACATTTACAGATATGTAGATACCATTGTTGCTACATTTCTCGAGTGGTTAGCAGTGCGTGCTACCATAGGAATGGTTGTGGATTCGAGTTATGTGTGGAATATCAAATCGGTGTCAAGATCACTTTCCGGAAAGTTCTTTCTTATCGGACGCCTACGTCATATGCAGAACACACCATCCAAGTTGTAGGTATAATCAGCGATTTGGAATTTATGTTATTCCTTCAATCATTCAGAGCCAAAATATTTTATATACATAACTTAGTACTTGACCGGAACTTTATTTTAAATAAAAAACACGGCTTGAGGAATTAAGGTTTCAAAATTTACGTTAAAAAAGACAACTGTAGAGGCTCAAACCTATCCAAAAATATATCTTCAAAATTTCAGTGGCCAATTCGATATAATTTAGAAGCGAGAGCAGTTTTAGTTACAGAGCTTGAAGCTCGTTTTCTCGAGTTCTCCAGTCCTAGAAAATGGTGCCGGTGATAGCAAAGAGAATATATAATAAAATCAAAGTGATCGAGCCTGAGTATTGAATTATCTTCTAGATATTTGAACTAAAAAGTTGATTAAAACATTTTTTGCAACATGAACTAAATTTTTTTTCTCACAAAAGTGACTTTTTTTAAAACATCCAAAACTTTGGAATTTTTCAACTTCTTTGTTATTTTTTTTTTTCATATGGAAAATACGCTCATAAAAATTAATAAAAAAAATAGTTTGCCTATTTCAGATGCATCGCAGGACCTCCATCGCCGGCACTGTTTCACAAGTTCAGACTGTAGCCGCTTAAGAAAACTCATGACGACAACATTGGAAAATTCCAAAAAAATTTTATACTAAAAAATGCGTTTTGAAGCTTAAATTTAATACATTATTGATTTAAAATTTCGTTTACCGCAATAACTTACTTCCCTTAAAAAAAAATAGCTTTTCTGTGGTTCTAAAGAAGCCTTAATTGTTTGTATTAATAAAAAAGTAAATTAAAAAGGGGAATGTCTTTGAAATGGTTTCCAACTTAATATGGCTATCAGTTTAATAAAATATAGTTTATTAAAAATATTTTACTTAAAAAAGGCAAAAAATACTAAGGTCGGAAAGTTCGGAAAGATTTGTCAGCCACTCAAATACTTTTGTTTTACTTAAGCCATGCTGAAGTCTCTAGTAAATAATAAAATAGGGTAACAAAAATAAAGCAATAAAATACCCAATAATATTGATAATTACGATACCTGAATTCAAAAACGTTTGATACTACAAAAATTAAAAATAAAATTATAATTTTAAAAAATTTGAAAAATATCTAATCTAAAATTTTTTATATTGAAATTTGCTTTGGCAAAAATATATTCAAATTATTGATATTATATAATAAAAAGTAATGCTTTGCTCTTGCAATAGTAGACTTTAGTGAAAACTTGAGTAGTGTTTATGGTCCTGATACTGTAACAGTCAACCATGCACAATTTTGGTTTCGTGGAGTTCATTTCGAAATTATTTTTTTAATATAAAGGATGATTTTTTAGCTATTATCTTTTTGGCAACACTGGTTTAAACAGCTTGCGCACGTTTCGTGTTTTGCATTACTGTCAAACATCTTCAGTTTGATCTATAGCTTAACCATGAATCGTCTTAAAAACAAACAACGCTTGCGAATTATTGAATTTTATTATAAAAATGCGTGCTCTGTTAAGAAAGTTAAAAAAAAATAAAATTGTGACCAGCAAGGAAGCTCATTTTTGACTTAAAGGGTGGAGCGAAGATCAGCCAGAAGCATTGCAAGAGCTACCAAAGTCACAGTTTGGTACTCTTTATGGGCTGTTGGCATCATTGGACCGTACATCTTCAGAGATAATGCTCAAAATAGACTTGCATGACATGTGGTTCCAACAAGACACTGTCACTGTGGCATGTGTAAACATGGACTTATTGAGAGGCGACTTCGATGAACATTTTATTTCACGTTCGGTACCGATCAATTGGTCGCCTAGATCGAGCGGTTTAACGCCTTTAGACTATTTTTTATGGGGCTATGTTAAAGTAATGCCTATACAGGCAATCCCGCTTCAATTGAAGCATTGGATGACAACATTGAAGCATTTATTCGTGAGATATCGGCCGAAATGCTGGAAAGAGTATGCCGAAATTGGACTAAGCGGATGGACCATTTGACGCGCAGTCACGGTTAACATTTGCATGAAATAATCTTCAAACATTAAATTAAATGAACCCTACTATCGATTCAAATAAAGATTTCGTACATTTTTCTGAATTTTATGTATTTTATTTTTTTTGGAAAACTTTCCTATAGTTTTTTGAAAAATCAGCCTTTACCTCAAGATGTGGAAGACCGATTATTGAAAATGTCGATAAAGTAATGGAAATCGTCGACTCTAACTGTCATGCGAGCAGTATATCTATTGCACAGGAACTAAACATTTCATAGGAATAGTTTGAAACCAATTGGAAACCGCTAGACAAACAAAGAATCTCAATGCATGGGTGCTACATGAGTTAACGAAAAAAAATCCACCATCCACCCATTTGAAGCAGATAATGGTTTATGATGATATTTGCATCACTTATAGCAACATCAAATGAAAACTGTCGTGGCTGAAGGGCAATGAGCTGGCGCAAGCCACCATTGACGACCGGGAAGAGTTTGCACTGTGTTTATTGGCATTGGCTATGAGCTATCTCTAAATACGGATCTGTATTGAAACATATGAAGGAAGCAACTGCCGAGAAGCGCTCAGCTTTGGCCATCAGGAGGGTAATTGTGTTTCATTAGGGCAACGTCAGGTCAAGCACATCGATAGTAACTCGCCAAAAGCTCCGAGAGCTTGTTCTGGAGGGTCTTATGCATTCTCTAATAGAACGGACCTCACACTCAGAGATTACCATTTGTCGCTTTCTATGGCGAACGACTTGGCATGTCCCATTTTTTTTTACCAAAAGTGACAAGAGCTTATATAAGGGAGACAAAATGACTAATATATTGTCGGACGAGATGGTGCATATTTGCCAAAGGCAGGATAAATTTTAACTATGGTAAATAAAGCCTTAAATTTTATCCAAAAATATTTATACTAGATCAACCAAGCAGGCAGAGCCAATGATATGCCAGATTTAGTTTGTCCAAAAAATGTATATCTTTACATTCATATACATATATATATATATATAATCTTATGTATATATATGTATTTTTCTCAAGATAAGTTGAAAATACACTTACAAGAGTTCATGAAATTAGATTATTTATATTACACTGCTCATCAATGAGCAATAAATAAATATGAAGGTCCAATACAGAAAAGTTTTTTTTTTTTTAATTTTTAAGGTTATGATTCCTTCAATATTTTTATAAATTAGAAGAAAATATTTTTATTATCAAAAAAAAAAAAAATACGATCTCACCCACTATTTTCGTCCTCCCTCAATACCACTTCTACCTTCTCCGAGTCTGGCATAATAGCGTTTTCCCGCCAGTTCTAACGCAATTCGCCGACAGATGTGCTTCAGAAATACACACCTGTAATCGGTCGTGAGCAACTATCCATTGACTGGATCACCTAATACGCGCCGATGCTGTAAAATATAACCCAAAACAGCTGAAAATGTGCGTATTTCCGCTTATTTATTGTATTATTCTGCCATCACAACTGCGGCGGTGGTTGCGTATAAGCACCAGTGCACACGCAGCAGTTGGGCTTTCATGTTTATTTATAAACAAATTTAAACATATTTATGCACATACAAGCACACATGTACATACGAGTATGTGGCAGACACTTAAAAGCATAAGCGATGACACCCGCTGCTCTGAGTAAATCGCCAATGAATGCCAATAAATAGCAACACCACATACCAAAAACAACAAGACAATATTTTCCCAATGTCTTGCTACACACTGACTGAACTGCATCGATCGCAGCCGATCGCTGGCATGTATAGCTCTATGTATAATTTATTATAAGATAAACAAACAAACCAAAAATTTCATGGACTCCATTGTAGGCAAGTGAGTGCGTGTGTCTAAGTATGCTGGGTTGAAGGAGTGCGATACTTGCGAATACTTTCAATGTTTTCTTAATGATCTTTAAACACTCTTTTTCGTTTTGTTGGTAATCTGTTTTTGCTTTGATTATATTTTGGGATTTTCATGTGAGTTTAAATGCGGATTTTTCGCCTTCGAACTTTCGGTGATGTATGTACGCGTATATGTAAGGCGGTGTATTTAAAACACACAAAATGAGCGTGAAGAAGGAGGAAAACGTACACGAAAAATCAATTGTATCGACGAAGTGCACGAAGTGAGCGAAGTAGCTTTTTGGCGAGTAGTGGGATCGATCGGCTGAACGGCGTTTTTCACTTGAAAATCTGCACTGATTTTTAGTAGTAATTTAGTAAGCGCCGCGTACATTACACATTGCACGTCATACGGTAAATCTTGAAACATATTTGAAAACTATTTGGAAATCAATGCTTGTTTCAATGCTCGCAAAATAGTGTCTTCTAGTCAAGAAAACGATATTTTCCAATTCAAAAACAATGTGTGAATATATAAAATTCGAAGTGAAAAATGAGAAAAATCCCAATAATTTTGTGAAATCGAATAATAATTTAAAAAATGATTTACATTTTGAAAAACATGACAATCGTCGCGCTGAACGCGTACATTTTCCAAATAATCTACATACCGTTATTGTGCCAACACATCACACCAATGCACATAATAAAGCTGCTGCTAGGAAAAATGCTACAGCGCCAGTGAAAGAAGAAGAAAATCGCCTAAAGAGTGAACCAAAAAATATTTCAAAACTAGTTACCGTTAATGATACAAAAAATGATTTCGTTATACATATTAAAAATGACACACACAAACATAAAAGAAAACCGGAAGATGAAATAAAGCACAAAAGAAAAACTGACACAAAACATACAACACAAACACATGCAACACTTTCTAGTGCCGAATCGAAAACTTCACTCAGAAGTGATCACCGGATTTTAATTAAATCCGATTCGAAATCGACTTTACGTAGTGGTGAATCTAAGGGTGATTTAAAATCACTATCCGGCACTTTGCCACGTCATGAAGCGTACGGTACAGTGAAAGGTAACAGTTTGAACAGATCACTGCATAAAGTGGACTCTAAGGCAACACTGAAAAGTGAAACAGTGTCAACAACAGACATTTCCATTGCCGGCAGCAGTGGGCATACGAAGAAAAGTTTGGAGTCGATGACTGATGAGGAGATCATAGAGGAGAACTTGAAGGAGTTACTCGAGAATAAGAATCGAGTAAGTTTAAGAAAAATTTAGTAAATTCAAAATTAGTGCATACCGGGCAGTTGTCGTCTTGCTTGGGAGATATCATACGTCCTTCTATTTCGGCTTGTAAAACTAGAGTAACTTTATTCTTTAGATTAATAAAAAAATGTTAAAGACAGAATTCAATTTAGTTTAACAATAAATGATTTATTTTAAAAAATATCGGATTTTCTTGTTCCCGTAGCCAATCTTCAGAAGGGCATTCAAAATAAATTTGTCTGCCGGTGACAAAAATATTTCTGCTTCAAATTACTTGAAACCCAAAAACCAAAAAAAATTAGTACTGTAATGGATAAATACAGATAATGATCGAAAGAATAGTGAAAATTTTGAGTTTTGAAAAATAGCGGCTTCACAAAAAATTAATTTTTTGTGGCTTAAAATCGAAATTTTTGTCAAAAATACTATGCCTGCGATCTTTACCTAACAAATATGTCTTAAAAGGTCGTCTGAAAATTTTAAGCCGATCGTTTAACCGTTTCAGAGAATTTTTCCTCACCTACTGTGAAAACAGCTTTTCGAGCAAAACGCATTCAAAGTTTTCAAAACCATTTACACTAAGTTAAACTACTCCGCCCTGTGCTTCGCATATTTTCGAACGCCACAAGACGTCCTTAATGATACGATCACATCTCCGAGATTGTTTGTCGGATCAATTTCAGATTTTCAGAAAATATTCTCAAATATATGTGCATTCGAAAAATTACAATAGAATTGAAAAATAGATTTTTTGAAAAACACAAGTGAATTTATATTTTCGAGTTTAAGGGGTTACATAGGTCTTGAAGGCCAAAAAAAGCTTATTTGAATTTTTTGTAGCATTTTTCAAAAAACGTCATTTTTTACATAAAACTAGGCCACATATTGGCTTGTAAAATGAGTTGAAATCAAAGATAAAATAAATCCTTCGTTCAGGGACTACAAGAACACGCTTGAAACAAGTGTGGAAAATTTGAGCTCGTTCGTTTCAAAAGTTTTGAATTGATTTTTGAAAAATTTTGACTACAGATTTCGAAAAAGTTGTTTTAAGCAAAAAGCCAAAGACAGCGGGTTGTAAAAATCTCTAATTTCTACAGTTTCGTCTCGATCGACTTGAAACTTGGGGCAAATATTCCTGACACTTTATACTTTTATACAATACTTTTAAACCCTTAAATCAGCATTACAGACTTTAAGACATGCATTTTTTTCTTAAATCTGTTCTAAACAAACCAAAAATACAAAAATCAAAGTGATCTAGCTTTAGTAAGTAATTATCTTCTAATAAAAAAGTTGAGCCAAAGTATTATTTAAAAAACATTTTTTTTTTTGTAACTTGCAGTGAATTTTTTTTATTGAAAAAATGTTTGTTCAAACTTCGAAAACTTTTGGAATTTTCCAGCGTCTACGATATTTTTTTTGGTTCATATAGGAGAAACACTCATAAAAATTAAAAAAAAAATGGTTTGACTGTTTCAGATGCATCACACGATCTCCATCACCACTACCATTTCTCGAGTTCAGATTACAGCCGCTTTCGAAAACTCATCACAACCTTGGAAAATTCTGAGATTTTAAAATATATTGAAGTTAAATATAGTATATTATTGTCTAAAAATTTCGTTTACCGCAATAATTTTCTTTTTTTCAAAAAAAAAAAAATCGCTTGAAAAATGTTTTTTTTTTTGGGTTCTAAAGGAAATTACTGCCTTAAATTCCTACTCGGTATGAAGGAGTTATGGAGACTTTGCATAAATATTTTTTTTATTGCCTAAGCATTGAAAAGTACAGATTTTCTGATTATCCAGAAATATAACCTTTATTTAATTTCTTTCTCAACAAAAATTCCATAGAGGAACGAGTGAGAGAATGATCCTTAGCCAACATCACTGGTGACTCTAAACTCGGTGAAAAAGTTGAATGCATGGCTGGATGCCATTAAGTCTCGCCAATGTAATCATACCAACTCAAATTTGACAATAAGACGCAGGGAAATCTCAAGCAAAGTCTGGACTGTATGCGAAACGTCCATAATTTGGGTCCCTGGTATTTCCTCGGCAAAGTAACAGGGTCAACAGCAGAAGTCAGAGAGGAACCACTTGCAATGTGGCCAAACAAGCCATTGATCGAAGTGAAAAGAACTAAGTCTTTACTCGTTCTAAACAGGATCTTCATGGACACTGATAAGGAGAAATAGGTGGAAATTTACTTGACCGCAGTACGTTCTGTTAATCTAGGAATGTTCTTTTTTGACTGCCTTGCAGAGTCTTTCATCAGTGTGCATCATTAATCTCCCTAATTTCATATAACACACCGAGTGGTTTAAGCATCAGACGCAACATAGATTTTACAACGGGCCAGTAGGCATTTAAGCCTGCGCCTGATGAGGGTTTTGTGATTTAACAACCTCTTTAACTAATAAATTATGGCGACTCGAGCACTTTTCAGGTATGCACGTAGGGAGTTTGAAATACGTCTCCACAGCTCGCTTATATTGATTTGTGGATGAGTGCTCTCAAAAAGCAAGCGTTTACTTCGAGTAGAAATCCATTTGACTGTTCGTTATGTTTGTAACTTCTTCCTTGAGTTCGTTAACGGGCATTCTTTGATGCACAGTTACATTTGCGTATCTCGAAACGTACGCACATCTAACACATGTCGTCCGACTATCACAACATGATCGAGTTTTCCGATCAGGTGACAGCAAGATAGCTTGATGTAAGTTCTTGTGCTGAAATCTAGTACTACAGACAACCATATTTCGGGCCGCAGCGTAATCGATCAGCCTCAATCCCTTCTGGGGATGTATCGTCGTATCGTCTGCCAAAGATACCTTCATGCTTGTTCACATCAACATTTTCTTCCGCTGGTATTGGCACAAATCAGCGATGTGTAGAAAAATTTCGTTTCGATGCGGATTATGGCGAGACGTTCATCCACCGTAAGATGCGACTAAAATCCAATAGTTCCCGCGACAGTCGGGTCTTTATACCGGAACGACCCGGATTTTCATCCAGCCAAGGACTGTCACTCCCGCAACATTCCCCAAAAAGTACTTTGAGGAATAATTTTGCGGTTACAACAACAACAACAGTATTCGGCAACGGAGTCTCTCTCCCACCACAAATCGGAGACCAAATTTACGTCCTTTATATGTCGCATCTGAAAAGCCGCACTTTCATATTACACGACCGGAAATTTCAGATGCATTTGTCATCCAAAGAATGAATAATTGAAGAATGGTAACTCAACCGAATGTATTTTGGTCTTGTCATTGGAGTTAATTTTTCATATAGTGGATCTAAAACCCTACGCACAACCTCTTGGGTTCACCTTCTTACTTCAGCTCGCCTCCAAAGCGATAACTATAGGTTATCCAGAGGATTCTTGGTTTAAGATAGGAAGTCGTTAGCTGCTTAAACCATATTTGCAAAATAATCGTTTCTGGCCACTCCAAGTTGAATGACTGTCAAAAAATTTCCTCACTTGCATTGAATGTTATTTCTATTCGATATCAAGGAAAGTCTGTGCACGGAACAGGAACAAAGCACGACTCGGATCAGCTCGTTCAATTTGACATATTAAATTTCAGAAATATTCTTGGGGATTTCTGTGTGAATATTGTATATATGTATATTCACCTACGAAACCTGATATACCAGTTCCGCATTGAATTTATTTATTTTCTTCTGACATTTTGCCGAACTCCACCTGCCTGTCTTGGGTATAATCAGTGAGCCGAAGTCTCAAAAGTATGAAAGCTGAAACACGAAGAGAGAAGAAGAGTCGTTAGAGCATGTGAAGCTGGACGGCACCAAAAATCTAATGAGTATTTTACACCTAAAAATATGTTTCAAAATATTTAAATAATCAAAAATCAACCTAAACACTCTAATGAAGAAATTATAAAAATTTACCTCAAACTAAAATAGATGAGCAAAGCCTAATATTGCACATTCATACGTATTTTTGGGCATATCTATATACATATGTGGTACATATATATTCATATTTGCACAGATTTATACGCATTTATCATTCCATTCAGTAAATAAATAGCAGCACTCACATGTCTGGAGGATTTCAAATTGATGGACCCTGTCAAAAATTGATGAAATATTCAGGCTGTCAGTTATTGAAATATTGAAAACTCAATTGATTTGTTTTCAATGATTTATTTCACTACCACAGTAACAACAACAAAAACAACAACAACACGCCTAGCACACAAATATTCGGCAGTTGGAAAATACGAGTATGTACATGGGGAATAAAATTTAAATTATTTTTGTGTGAAATTAAATTTAGTATGAGCGCATCAAGAACAATAACAATAACAAAAACAAAAACAAAAACAAAAACAAAAACACTACAACATTGTATAATTAGGAATTTGTGTTCAATAATAAATCATTGTTTTATGATAATGAAAGTGAATCATAAAAATTTTACCCAACATATATACATACGTGTATATCATTGAACATATATATGCTTTGAAATGTGTAAATATAATGAACATGCGCTGGTTTTATTATGTTATCCTTGGTTTTATACTGCATATAATATACACGTACATATATATGAATCCACTGAATTCTATAAAATTCGGCGTAAAAATTTCTTTAAAAAGTTTTCAGTTTCTTGGTATAAATTCAATTAGAAAAAATATATATTTACTACACAAACAACCTGGTTTTGATATTGCTGACACTGCTACTTGCAACCATTTAATTTTGACATTTTCCATTAATTTATAATGAATTTTATATTAAGATTTCAAACTATGGATTTTTGGGTTTTAAGTGAAAATATCTCGTCTGAAATTCGCTTCAGTGGTTACAAGGCACCATTTATATATACATACACATATATATATAGTAAAAATATATTTTTAATTATTTTTTAAAAGTGTTACATACATACATATATATGACCATAACTTTAACAACATTTTTTGAATTTTATCACAAGATAAAAAAGAAAGGTCTCTCAGCGCCATTCTTTGGCTCCATTTCGTTTTACTTCCCTCCCTATGAACGTTAGGGAGGGTGGGACCATGTGTAGAAATGCACCCGAGTGAGAAAAACATGTATGTATGTATGTATGTATGTTGCAAGCTATGTACGAGCATACGTGTATGTATGTATGTATGTTGCAAGCAGTTCAGGAATTCCGCTCATAGATCAAGCATCCTCTGGGTAGTCAAAAAAATATTTGTTTGAGGGTGAGCTAAAATGCAAAGTCGAATATCCTGTAGTTGTACGTATAGTTTGAGACCCACTACATAAAAATAAAACAACAAGAAAGTGGGTCCTTTTAAAATCTACTACAACTTACATATGAAGGAGCGAAAATTTGATGGTGGATTCGTGGTTGAAGAGAGATTCTGTACCCGTGAATGAACATCTAGCCACATCTATATCGAAACGAGTTTGTTCAATATATCACTAGTTTGCCACTACGTCAAGGCAGAAGAAAAGAAGTGATCAAATTTGATTCCTTGACGTGGATTAGAGACCTGGAACAAAGTTCAATTTGCGCAAAGACATCACCGACAAATTCAAATGATTCGAATTTAAATATAGACCGTGGTTCAATCTATATAGATATAATATAACTAAGTATTTACGCCTTTTAAACAGGACTTTCATAAGCAGAACAACCGGACACTCAAACGACTTTTGCCGCAGCAACGGTATGTGTCTTAATATTTTCTAACAAATTGAGGGACCTACTGTACTAAGCCGCCTCCGAACGGCTGAGGGGTTTTATGAGGAGCTTTACTTCATTTCTGAAATACTCTCATGTCCTTTGCCAAATTTAAAATTTCTAAAATAATTGAGTATCTTTCCGTCATAATTTTATTTACTCAATACCTGTGTATATATATGTTATACTGGGTTTAACCATGAAAGTACAAAGATTATCTGGTCTACTAACTCTAGAACGTACAATTGTCCATGGCCGTAGCAATCCGTGTGTAAATCTAGTGTACATAATTCCCTGACCTTGAGACTTCATTGAAAGTGATTGCAAACCTTAGACGAATAGGGAATTGTAATCGCTTGCATTGAAAGGGAGTAACGGACGGAATGATGGAGATTCGAAGAAGAGGAAGTTCTTCACTTTTTAAACGTCTGGTCAGAATTGTTGCTTATATATCTTTATCTGCAATTTTTTTTGACTGCAAGTCGTTTGCCGTTGCATATTAATATTACCTAGCATTATAATGGGCAAAACTATTTTCAAATTAAATGAAATTCAAAAATTTTGTTGTGTAACTATATGCCTCATTTACGTCCACAACGGTGTCTATTAACTTATATGTGACGGATTCGCTTACAATGTTGGAATGAGATCGTAGACATTTTAGTTAGTTGCAGCGAGCCACCTATGATCCCTATAATGAATTTCGATACTCGGAAATACTCGGTGAATCAATTCCTCTTTTGATGGCCAGTAAATGGCTCGAAGAATCATCGACTGTTAGTTTTGCAGGACTTCGTACATGTCGCACAAAGTTAAGTATTCTGGGTAAGTATTGATAACATTCGCTAGTGTTGATCGAGGACTGAGAGGCAGTAATGTTGTGTAAAAATTTCAGTCAGTCGGTAACTTTTCGAGATAAGCGGCAGATTTGCACATTGCACGTGATTTCACACTGCCATTTGCTGTTGATTATCTTGGCCTCAGTCCCGCATAACAGTTTTCTTTCTGACAGCACATCGGCCTACAGTTCTCTGGAATATCCCTACGACTAGATAGCCAAATCACGAACGTTTTGCATATGAAGTAATAACTAATATTTTCATTTTATTTATAATGAAAAGCATCTTCACCGCTTGCGCGATTATAGCCGAGTTAACAACATTGCGCCATTCGTTTCTTCTTTTTGCTGTTTGGCGCCAATTGGAAATACCAAGTACAGCCAGGTCCTTCTCTACCTGGTCTTTCTCTTTAACGGAGTGAAAATCTTGCTTTTCCTCTGCTTCCACCGGCGGGTACTGCATCGAAAATTTTCAAAGCTGGAGTATTAATATCCATCAGGACCTGATTTGGCTGAACTAAATCAGTTTCGCCGTATAACTCGCACAGCTCATCGTTCCATCGTCTGCGATGTTTGCCGTTACCAACGCGCAAAGGACCATAAATCTTACGTAAAATCTTTCTCTCGAAAACTCCTAACGCCAACTCGTCAGATGTTGTCGTCCATGGTTTTTGTTCGCCGAGGGAGGACTTAAGTTTTTAGTTACTACTCAGACCAAAGCAGCACCTTTTGGCAAGTGTGATCATAACTAACGACGCAGTTTTTGAGGCCAATGATATCAATATCATAGGCATACGCCAGCAGCTGTATACTCTTATAAAATATTGTACCTTCTCTATTCAGCTCGTATTATAGTCACCCGATAAGGAGTCGCCTTGTCTGAAACCTCGTTTAGTATCGAACGGCTCGGATACAAACGGAGCTTTTGGTGTTGCTCAAGGTCAGGTAACATTGATAAGGCCCAATCAATTTGTTGACAGTTGGCTTTACTCTCTCACATAATACGCTTGATAGGCCCTGTTAGAGATATTGAGGAGGCTTATCCCACAATAATTGGCGCAGACTGTGGTGCTGTGCTGTCTGATTCATTGACATTGAGCAAATTTTTCAATATTTTACTCACTAAGTTTGTTTCACAGCTCCCATTAAAATTTTCATTTAATTTTTTTATTTAGCCATTAAAATTCAACCAATAATTTATGTTATGAAATCTCAGACAAAAGAATTCAAATTGTGACTAACACCAAAAATATGCGTGGAGTAGATCGTAGGTTTTTTATGATTCATATATGTACGAGTATATATATATATTTGCTTAAAAGTGTAGTAAATTTAAAAGAGCCGCCTATAATAATAATTTTCCCATCGGCAGGTGAAAAAATTAAAAAAAAAATTTTTCAAATTCATTCTTACACTATAAAAATGTTGTTTAAAATGTAAGAAACGTGTGCAGAAAATGTGGGTGGCTAGTCACCATTTAGTACACTTTTAAAACTGCTACTATTAATGTTTATTTATGCCCCAGCTAGAATAACTAGCAGTAGCTGGAGAAAATCAATGACCGCATGTGGCATTTAATTGTCGAAATTTATTGCAATTTAATGGAATTTCTTTTCGTTTGTGAATTTTTTACACTTCCTGGTCTATGCAGCAGTTGGGGGAAGCTGCGTTTAATTGGAAATAAAATTGTTATGTTTATAATGGCGCTTCTTTTGAATGAGCGCAATATGTTATCCAATGAAATGAATATACTAAATTGGTTCCTAGCGCTCTGCCAAAGTTGTCAAATCGTAGTTTTTGGATATCAAAGTGGCAAAAGTTCATTTCCCCCGCTGTAGAATAAAAATAATTTTTGTAAATATCATCAGCTGGGTGGCCGCGTACTGTTATTCAAAAACCCAGGTTTCGTGTCCTGATCCGACCAACAACCAAATATTATTGGAAATTAATTTAATTAAAATTATTAGTTGATTCTTTTAGTTACGGTCGCCCTTCAGAGTGTATTTTTGACATAAAATAAAAGCTCCTTTTAAAAATCAGCCGGCGTTTCGGAACAGGAAGTTCATTTATGTTTTGAAATTAAATTAAGACGTGTATCAGAAACTGAAGAAGGAGCTCGGCCGAAAATCGAAGCTGAATTGGAAGAGCAATGTCTTAATTTGTATTTACCGATAATTTTGAATAGGATGCCCAGCCGGTTTTTAGAGAGGCTTCGAATACTTTGAGCTGTCAGGTCATTGAACGTGGGCTTTAATCTTTATACACAAGAGCCTAGATAACAACTTATAAGTGATATTGTAGATAATTGGCGCATACTATAGTATCCGACTTTATATGGATTGGGCAGTGCATACTCAGGTACCAATCGTGTGGCATGTTTTCGTCCGAACATATACTCATCAGGTATGCCATCGGCTAACGCCGCTTTATTACTCCTTGAATAACTATTAACCACATAATCAACAAGCGTCTAATCGTGGAAGAGACTCATAACGCGGTATAAGAAGGGCATCTGCGAGCCTTTCGGTATAAAACGAGGTTTCATGCTGGGAACGGGTCTGAGAATGATGGGCGACAAATATCCTCTGATGTTATGGCTACTGCGTCACTCCTGGTAGTTAAAAATTTGAGGTCGTTGATAATTTCGTCTATTCAGGAATCAGAATTAATATCACACACAATGACAGTCTTAAGATCCAACGGAGAGTCACACCTGCTATTAAGTGCTATTATGGACGGAGTAGATAATAGAAAAGTAAAGTACCCTCTCGAAGAACAGAAAATCAACTCCACAAACAGCTAAATATGTCATGTTATCATCAGGAGGAATACCTCTACTCCGTTCGAGACCTCTACTCCAGGTTTTACTTGATATTTCCAATTGTCGCCAAGCAGCGAAAAGTAGGAACCACTATCCCGGCCTTATTGAATCAGCTATAATCACGTAAAGGCTGTATATTTTCGTGGAGAGAAAGAAGAAGAAGAATACTTGTACTATAATGATGAACATTTCATGATATCACTGAGCAGTGTGAGAATGAAATTTTGTATTTTCATTTTAAATTTCAGATATACAGCAAGAAAGAGATAAAATGAATTCATTACCAACAGAAAACGGACAATTTCTTAACTTTATTGAAGTGTTATATGACAGAGTTTCGAGCTGAATAAATCAAACAGTCGAACTTGCTCATATGTAATACACTACCAAACCTAACCTTACTTTATATGCTTTTCTAAAACTTTATCTACTAAATCAAAAGGTGGAAATTATTTTTTTAAACAATTCTGATTTCTAATTACAGGAAGAACGTAAAGCAAATGGACGTCTTATAGCAGTAATCGTGGCATTTATAGTTATATTCGTTGCGCTCTACAATATATGGCTCAAGAAAGCTAATGGACTTGCGGGTATTCTCGTGCCGGCGATAATTATGGTATCCTATGGTGGTTGGGTGGTGTTGCTGGCGAAGCGTGATAAACAACGACAAGTTTTATATGTAAGTAAAAAATGATTCCAATAATAAGTGGTTACAAGACACTATCGGACAGCTTGAGATGTATATAAATGCGATTGAGGATTAAAAAAATCTGGTTTTAATGGGAGATACCAATATTTTCTGGGAATATATAAATAGCTTGATCTGTTACGAGGTTCCAAAAGTGCTGGGCTGTATTTTGACACCCGTTAAACTTAATTGTCAAACCAAACATGTTTTGTTTTAGCTAAAAGTCAGGCATTTATGAAAATGTATCCCTTAAGAACCGTACAAGACATTAAAATTACTAAAACTTACAACAAAAATGGTGATTCAAACGTGGTCACATTCCGTTCCTTAAGAGGAGACTTAATCATCCAACTAATCAAGAAATTGTTAAAATTATAAAGAAATTTGAAGAGACTGAATTGGTTACAGATTTTGTAAGGCCGGTGTTCGTTCCACCTCAAATATCGCTAATTTAAGTGAGCCGAAGTGCATATTACTCGACGTTCTCAAGAGCTGGAACTTTGTAAAGGCACATTATGGCGTATTTTGCACTTGAACCTACAACTACATCCATATGAAGCCCAGCTCATAACCACTGAAGTCAGCTGATGATTCACAACGCCGAGCAAACGTCGACTGGGCCCTTGAAAATCAAGAAGTGATCGGCGATATTTTGAAAAAAACTTTATGCACCAACGAGACACATTTCTCATTTAGGTAATACGTGAATAAGCAAAACTTAGGATCCGGGTATCATCGAATAATTGAAGAGAGGCCATTGCACAAAAACAAGAAATAAAAACTTACTGTCTGTTGCACTCTTTGACCTGGAGGTGTGATTAGACCTTGCTTGTTTGAAAACGACAACGGCGAGACAGTCACTGCCAGTTCGGAGCTTTATGGTCGTGCGATAACCGCCTTTTTTTGGCCTGCAATTGACGAACACAACTTGAACAATATGTGGTTTCAACAAGATGGTGATACAGGCCGCACAATACGAGCGAATATGTATTTATTGTGAGAGAAATCTCCCAGCTGCGTAATCTCTCGTTTTGACGATTTCAAGTGGCCACTGAGATCGTACGAATTTTTAACCTTTGGACTTTAATTTTTTTGAGAAACCAAGCTTATGCATATAAACCTTTAACCCTTGAGCACTTGAAACCCAAAATCTGCTCCAAAATTAAATCAATCGGAACGAAGCTTGCAAAACTGTGCGAGGTAGTCATTTGAGTGTTGTTTGGTTGTATATAAAATGTCACGGTGCAAACTTTAAAATAAAAAATTATTCGAGGTTATCTAAACGGCGGTCAAGAAATCGAACTAATTCGATGGGTTCGGAACAAAAGGTGGCATGCAAAGAGTTGTTTAGAGTCGTGCGTGGTATCATGGCATGTGGGGCATTGCCGTGGACTATGTCAACGTGAAGTCTAGATGGGTAGAAAATAAGTCTTGGAAGAAATAATATAACTCCTAAACTGAACTTAATAAATGGATTTTTTGTTTTAATCAAAAAACTCATTACTTTATTTCAGGACAAACACGTTGAAGAAGTAATGGAACGCAACAAAATCGAATTAGCTGAAAAAGCAAGATTACTCCGAAAGAAAAAGATTGAAGAGGCCAAACGTAAAGAAGAGAAAGAGAAAGCGAACAAACTACAACGTTTAGGTCATCGTCCCAGCTTCCGTGAAAAACTATTCGGTCCGCGAACGCCCATCATGCAACCATCAACGAATTTATTAACAATTGCTGTGACGGCAGCGGCGCCATCACAAATTGTTGTTGAATCGAAGAAGAAACGTTTGGAGCGTATGAATGCCTTGGTGCCGCCACCAGCGCCGGTGCGTACCGGTTCAGCGCCGTAGTGGCTGTGGAACGTGCCAAAACCCAAGCATACTTTCATACATATGTACATCAGTTAGACTTAGTTATTTCATTACACACACACACATATGCACACATTTAGATATTTAAGAAAATTTACATAAACAGGAAACACGCTGAATTCGCTCTGTTGTGGCAGGAAATGATTATCATTCGCTTGTGGAGAAAATTGTGTGTTTATAGACTAATTGTATATGTATCCTTGTCATAAATTCACTCATAATTATGCGATAAACTGTTGTACCACATTTGTATATACATAAGTACTCAGATTTCTTATAATTCTATTAATACTCACTCTTTTTAGAAAGTCCGTCCTTTTTTTCATGTATTCCTTTGATGTGAATTCAATAATTAAATTTCAAAAACATATTTTCTAGAATTTATTCACGTATCTCATGATATTTTTCTACACTTCGTTCGCTTACATACATATATATTTGACTTTTTCGATTTTTAGAATTAAAAATATATTTGTACATACTTACATATGTGTTTAGCTCAATTTAAGTAATAGATGTTTCTTTCATTAATATATATGTATATAGAAAAATAAATCACTATTTTTTACAAAATATCTATTTAAGTATTAATTTATGTTTCTCAGATATAATTTTAAGTAAATTTGACACTGCGCCAAAATGTAGGCAACGGTTACCGTATGATTTTACCTTTTTTCTTTTTTTAGATAAAATAATTAGTAAATTTAAAGCTTTTTTATTTTCTTTAGTTTTATCTGGGTCTAGTGGAGACCAGCTTTCAGGGGAAGTTTATTTATGTCATACAAAAAATATGCTCGGAAAGATTGGCATTCACAGCCGAGAGGCGACTGTAATTAGATATTAATTTAATATTAATTTTCTATAACTCGAAGCCATGACCTTTCGCGTGATAGTAAGCACTGCTAATCACGCAGCCACAGTGGCCATCAAATTCTCAAATATTGTTTTTTTACCAATTCTTGATCCTCTAGTTATATTCAAGTAACAGGTTCGGCCAGAATTAGTTGTCGTTCGGCGACTGCCAGCGACCAAGGTTAAAAGTCGCATAGTTGATTAATTTTATATATCTTTTATTTATTACAATAGAATGAAGTATGATTGGTAATCACGATTGAAGCATCAATAGTCATACATAAACCAAAGCTGGTCTATTGGAATACCATGATGTTGTCCAGTTCATTAGGCGCCACTGACCATTCACTTCGATTACCTTATAAATCTGTTTGAGTTATTTCGTCTCGGCTATGCTTGAAAGAAGATCACTTCTCGAAGATTTAATCTTGCTACGCCGAAGACAGAGCAAAAAATATGAGAAATTTTTGCTTCCACATCATGGTTTTGACAGCTTCTACATCATCTGCTGATGCTCCTACTTGGCATGACCTTTGCCGGGGCCATTTCTTTCCCCAAGTTTGCCGAGACTTAATACAATTCACAAACTCATTGAGTGACATATTTTATGTTATAAACCATTCAGAGGACCAGGGTTCGAGTCCTGGTTTGACCAACATCCAAAATTATAGAAATTTAATTTATTTAATTACTTCGCATATTCTTCCGCCTTGCTATTTTTCCCGTATTCAGGAACCCTACATGTCGATTGCAAAAACGAATCAACAGCGAGCGCCCAGACATTGCTCGTAATTGGATCGTTCATCACGACAACGCGCCGTGCCACACACAGCCTTCAGCGTGTCCCACTATTTGGCCTCTAAATGAGTCAATTGGGAACATCTAGGCGGCCGAGACGAGGGTACTCGAGGACATCCCAGTCGAATCTTTGCAGCAGAAGAAGCATGGAAAACGCGCTGGAAACGTTGTATAGCTGTCCAAGTGGACTACTTTGAAGGGGATGTTAGAGTTTTATAATAAATCAGTCAGAATCAGTCTCATTACTTTATTGTCTCACCTCGTAACTCGTGATTTGCTGGACCGATTTCTCATATTTTAATCTTGAAAGTTTTTTAAAATATCAGGAAAAGTTTAAACAGAAAATTTACCAGTGACTGATCCATAAAATCGTATTTTTGGTTTCATTTACTTTAAATTCGCTCGCATAAGTTTTTATTTTCCTCAAATTAGCAAGAAGACTACCATTCTTTTAATTAGACCAGGGACCGACCTACTTGAAAAAATTACTATTTATAGTTCTTTTTCCATTCTTTCCAGGGGGTGGATTTACATTTTTTTGTTGTAGACATATGGCTTTCAAGAATATAACTTAATCTTAGGAGTAGCTTTGTAATAAAGATAAGAATTTCTAATTTTGTTTTAAAAGTGATTTCGGGAAAGTGTCCCGAATAGCTTCCAACCGGTTTTGGACCACATTTGGCAGCAATTGGAACCGTAAATCAGCATTAACGTGGCGAATATTTTCCTCCAATCGACTCGCGCTTATCTACTCGTATGTAAACAAGCGACTTCATACAACCCCACCAAATCTAATCCCCCGATGTTACATCGCCCGATCTTGGAGGTCACGCCACAGGCCTACGAAAAGAAATAATGTGCTCACCTAAAGTTTGCTTCATTAAACTGATTGCCTCGTTGGTTGTATGGAACGTAGCGCCGTCTTGTCGGAACCAAACATCGTCCACATCAACATTTCCCAATTCAGGCACGAAAAAGTCATTAATCAAGATTGTTCCCAGCTCTTTTTTTTAAGGAATATGGTCCAATAATTACCTTTGCCTATAGAGGGCACCAAATAGTGACTTTTGGTTTATTTTCTTGTGATGCGTCGCGTGAAACGAGCCATTATTTTTGGTAATAAATTTGTACTATTCGTAAATGCTGTTCCAGAGTAGGTCTGTTCCATATGAGAGCATACATGAAATCAGCAAAATTCAGAAAGGCACAACAACCTGCGGGTGGGTCTATTGGTATATATGAAACTCAATATAATCGGCAACCTCCTAAGTGGTCGAAATTCCGTTTGAAAAACACTGCAATAACCTATTAACCTAAAACAGAGCGCAAAATGTCGGTTTCCTGCGAAGATAGCCGCATCAACTATAGCCTCGACTTTCAAGCCATCAGTGCAGTCTTCGTTTCATGCTTTCCTTTCAGGGTTTCGTGCCATAAAGTTGCCACTGATAACTAGAGCAGCAGTCCGTCCTGCTTTATGGGAAAGCATATGTACATACATATGCACTTTTCGATGTTTCCAAATCGTTGATTACTTCACTGAAATTGTGTTATTTTAAAAAATGCTCAACAGTGAAATTTAATTTATTTATTTTTATATGCACAATTGCAGATTGGGAATATCTATTTTTTATCTGTACAAAAATGTATTTGTATATACAAATGTACGCTAACCTCGTCCAGCCTCAGTTGAATCCCAAAAATCAGCGAATAAATTTATTTTTATTTTCAACGTAATTTCTTTTTTTATTCGGTAAACAATCATGAAGCATTTTTTTGAATTTCTGCAGAATAAATAGACAAACCTCGGTTTTAACTATTTAAACAACAAATACAATATCTTTTTAGCCTGCAGTGTTTTAGCAAGTCACGGAAATTTTTCTTTCAACATTTGAAAAACTTTTATTTTTCTCTCGCACCTTATAAAAATACCGTAAAATTGGTTAAAGTAAACATGAAAGGAAACAATAAATGCGTATTTACATTCAAACGCATAAAGGGTGTTTTTTTTTTCTATTAGACGTTTGGTTCTCACGGGGGCAAAACATTTTTCGGAGTTGGTCGGGAGGCTCGGGTTCATATCCCGGTGCCACCAACAACCAAAAAGTTATGGAAAATTAATTTAAATAAAAAATTAAATTAAATTTTCTAATTGCAGTCGCCCCTCGGTAGGTTATGTCCACCCCTCTGAGTGTATTTCGGACATGAAACAAAGGCTCCTCGTAAACTGTAGGTTCCTCTATTTATTGGAAAAACATCAAGACGCAAAACGACAAATTAAATTGGAGCAGGAGATTGGCCGAAAAATCGCTTCAGCGCTTACAAAGCGCCACTTATATATAATATTTGCTTGTCGTGTAAATTTATTACAAAAATAATGGTTAGGTTGGCTCGTCGCATCATACGCTATGTCCAATATTCGATAGACTTGATCGGCCAACAGAACCGGTAATTCGAGTAACCACGGAGAACCACGTTTACACTAGTGGCGAATACACTATCGCGTAGTACCGAATGAATAAATCACAATAACTGGAGCTGTGTCCAACCACTTTATTTCACAAAAAATCCAACTTGTGCGAGTATTGAAGCCGAATGACCATGAAGGGAACGTTCGGTGATTGGGCTAAAAGCGAAATGGCCACTGAATCTGATTTTCGCAAGAAAATTTTGTTCAGCTCGTTTTTGGCCAAATTGCATTAGGAGTGATGATAATCTCTATAAGTCATTATTAAGATGCTGTTACATACTCAAAATGTCACTCTTCGGGGTGCTCTTCGGGCAGAGGAAATCCATTGTTCCATATTTCTTCAAAAAACGCAGTCGGCAAGAATGTTACAATTAATGAGGATATCTATAGAGTCATGAGTAATGATTTTTTGTTGCCCAAAACTTAGAATATTGGTGTGGATGACCTTTGGATCCAATAAGACGGCGCCATTTGTCATGCACCCAACTGCAAGGAAACTTTTGGTGAGGGTATTATCTCACGCCGTGTTCTGGAGATCGTGTACACAGATAAGATCGATACGTTTAACAACTTGGAATAGAATATTCGGCGCTGATTGGGGGCCGCATCCAATTACTGCAAAAAGTGGTCGAAAATCGAGCCTCCACGGCGTCCACTTGCACAAACTCATTTTTAAAATATATTGGTAAACTTGTATCTTCATAATATAGCTAACTTCAAGGACATAACAATAAATTATATGCCTAAAAAACACCCTTTAAAAGCTGATGTTGGTAGTCACATTTACATTACAGACGAAAATTGATTATTTTTATCATTTAATTGCTAAGAGTAAATGCATATATTTATTTCTTAAATTACTCGTTTGTTATAATCCAACTAAATTAGAGAAATTGTTTAATTGTGCCGAAAATTCGAAAAATAAATTCATTAAATATGGCTCATACTGACCAGCGTGAGTGCTAGTAATATTTCATAATATTTTAATTTGAAATTCGATATTTTTATGGCTAAAGCTAGCTAGTTGGGATTGTGTGTAGACAAAATATGTATTGTACATACATACATACATACATACATACACACATATTTCATTCATTATATGGAATATGGCATTTTCATTCAACAATTGTATATATTTCAGCATATTCCAGCGCAAAGATATGTATTTTACTGAGTTTTAGATGTTTGTATATATTTATGCGTGCACATACATAAATAAAAATAATAAATGTTTTTTTTAAGGTCAGTACGTAAGTATTAATAGAAATTCATTCATGAGTGCACTTGGGCGCAAATACGTACGAATTATTACAGCATGTGCTTTACATACATATATATAGATTTATGTATGTAATATATAGTAGTACTTGGATTTATTTGTAAATTTGCTAACTATTTTGACGTCAGACGCTTCTTATTTTTATTTGTAATTTATTTTAATTTCTATTTGTTATTTATTTTTTTTTTAATCTTTTCTTTTGTTATGCTCATGGACACTTATCGCCGACGCAAATTTTGTCTCTAAAATTTAATTTTTTTTCATTTGCAATTTGAATAATTTCATTAAATAAATTTTATTTTATTTACTTTAACTGAGCTGATGCAAATATTCGAAATTCTTCTGCTTCTTCTTCGCTATCGTAAACACCGCTTATGATATTAAAGCCTCGTTGACAACAGTGCGTTATTCCTTCTTTCTTTGCGCTGTTTGATGTGTAACGATAGCCTTATGGCTCACTGGGTTATACGTAAAAGCATATATTATATGTTATGGATTCCCCAACTCACCATGCTCAAGTACAACTACATTTCTTCTTCCGTGGTGGAATTCTCTATTGTATTATACAATTGAAAGATCGTTAAAATAACTCAGCTGTTGTCGTAAACTTTTTGACAAATCACTTATTAAGCGTCAAAAATTTTGAAAGGATAAAGTAAGGATAAAGTAAGTAGATCCAGAAATTATTTGAGCTATATAAATTGAAAAAGGAAAAAGAAAAAAGTATTTAGCTTACAATGCAATATGTTTTATTCCAAGATGAGGTGGTATCCTATCATCATTGGATACAGGCTTCCTTCGCAAAAGGAAGGATCCTTTCCACTTGAATGCTACTAAGCTTCGGAATCTATATTGATTAAAGCAAGATTTAGTTGATGAATTCCTTTCGGGTTCCGCTAGATGGCGTTAGAAAGATGACATTTCGTCCTAAAAAAGCTTTTCTGATAGTTTTGTGATTGGTTGGTTCAATTTTATTTGAGCGTGCGTCTAGGACGGACACCAACAAAACGAAAAAAACGCTATATTTTACAGTTTTTCTTCGATAAGGGCGAAATCGCAAGCCAGCCGGCTGAAAATGTGTATGGCTCTTATGGTCCTGATACTTTCACAGTCAAACATGCACCATTTCGTTTTCATTCTGGTAATTTTAATGCAAAAGATGCTATCTCGATTGGCCCGAGAGCTAAAGATTCCGCAAAAAATCGTTTGGAACCATTTGAATAAGGCTGGAGACGAAAGGTGAAAAATTGAAGAACTTAATTTCATTCAAAAATAATGGATTGCTTTTTACTACACCGACATAATCCTCGTTTATGTGCCTAATTCTCGCCATTTGCGGGAAGTTTTACTTTTCTGTTACAATCCGAAAAAAAAAATGCAGCTGAAGCGCATCGAATGCTCTCAGAAATTTACGGTGATGATGCTCTGAATGAAAGAACGTATCGGGAGTGGTTTCAACGAATATTCACGGCGCCAAGGTTATGATTTGTATTTGGTGGGATCAGCTCGGTGTGATTTACTACGAGCTCTTAAAACCGGGTGAAACTATCACAGGAGATCGCTACCGAACGCAACTGATGCGCCTTAGTCCCGCGCTAAAAGAAAAGCGGCCACAATATCAAGAGCGACATGACAAAGTCATCCTCCAACACGACAATGCTCGGCCTCACTTCGCAAAAGTGGTCAAAAAGTACCTGGAAACGCTGAAATGGGAAGTCTTGCTCCACCCGCCAGATGTCGCCCCTTCTGACTTCCACCTATTCTGTTCGATGGCACACGGCTTAGCAGATGCACATTTTCGATCCTTCGAAGAATTGGATAGCGTCAAAAGAGGACTATTTTTTCGAGCCGGGATCCGAAAATTGCCGGAAAGATGGGAGAGTTGTCACTAGCGAAGGACAATACTTTGAATCTGAATTTATCTGTAAGCACTTTTTCGCAATAAAGCTTTTAATTTTGGAAAAAACGGCGGAAGCAAAGTTGTGCACCTGATAATTTGACAGATTTTAATGCCTAAGAAAGTTATTTTTTTTGTTTTGGAATTTTAGAGTACGAGACCTTGAAAGCTTCGCGCAGTGTTGTCGTTTTTCGCTTTGATTTAAAGTTGTAATAGCGGAAGCGATCTTCGCCGTTTTCCAATTTGTGATATTGATCTTGCTTTTTTTCCAGCGAAATGGAGGGATCTACAGTTTACACTAAGCCGTTTCCGAAAGGCTGATGGTTTTTTATGAGGAGCTTTGATTTGGATGTGATGTGAGAAACATGTAGATGTAATCAAGAAATATTTAAGAACAAATAGAGTACAAGTTAAAAAAATGTTTTTCAAAATATATATGTATTTATTTTATATTAAAATAATAATGATCATTTTTAACAATTTATTTAATCTAGAAATTTTGAATTAAATTCTTTGCTGTTAATGCCTTTACTATATATGTATATACTTAACTTACTGTTGTCCCTGTTGTATGTTTACAACTTTAATGTGAATTCCAAATGAACATGTGCTCGTACTATTAAACATAAACAAAATAATTGTTTATTGTTTTAAATATATTTTCCTTTTACTGCAAAAAATTGAAGTCTGAGATATAGAAAATAGCATTTTATTTATAAGCAAAACGTAGGTAGATATCTACATGTATGTATGTACGTGTATGTAAAAGACCCATTTTTGGTAGACACACGCTTGCAGATTTTAGCGGATGCACACAACTTTCAAACATACCCGTTTGCGCGTACATTTGTACGTGTAAATATGCTGAATATTCTCGTAAAAAAAAAAATGTTTTCATATGTGACGCCTTTAAACATCTGAGATTTTCACACCTTCAGGTTGCTTGAATGAACCTACTTACATACATACATACTTATAACAGCAATAGCAGGCGTGTGGTACATGCAATAATTTCAAACGGCGCGATATATTTCCAATAAGGGGCAGGGGATGTGCACCCATGATCGCAGTTTGTGAGTTAATATTTATTTAAAAATTGATGCACCTAACCTAATCTAACCTCGCTATGTCTTATTACGGCAAACGTTTTATTATGCCAGTCTCCGTAGTGCTAGATGTGCTTATCTCGAGATAGATATCGTGATCTGAAGAGGGAAGCAAGACGTATTCACAGTTAAAAAAGAAAGGGGCCGAATTGCGTGAGTATGAAGGGCTTCAGTAGTTAGCGGATAAGGGTAAGGGTGTGGAAATCTGATGGTCGATGTCCAGAGCATACCTGATTTATGTAGGGAATGATTCTCCAGCTTGCTGAGCTGAATACACCAAGGTTACATTACCTGACTATGACTAGGTTCGAAAAGCGGTGGCTCGTTTAAAGAACAACAAAACTATTGGCTTACCGGTTGAGCCACTTAAATATAGTGAAGTGCTGACAAAGTGCATGCATCAGTTTCTTTGTTGAATATCGTCGGACGAATGCATGGCCGACGATTAGAAAAGACCCGTAGAATAAAATCAATACACTTCACATTTTCATCGATTTCTTCAACAGGACAGTAAAGAGCTGCCTCTATGCCGCTATGTATGAATTTGCCACTCCAGCAATACTTATAGGACTATGTCAAATATGTCACGCCAATGAAATTTTTTTGTGTTTTATCTCAGTTAATGTTGTACAAGCTAAAACAGTGTAGGCATAGCCTAAACATGAGAAGATAATCGACGCCCAACTATCGATATATTCTTTATTTATCAACTTACAATCATTCGACAACATGTTCCTTACCATTGGTGTTTTCCTAAATTTTTGAATGCTGTTTTATGAATTCGTTTGCTGGTATTTTCGTAAATGACGCGGTAATGGTAACAATAAATAATTATTTACGAATCCACGATCTGAAAGTAGTTTGACGTTGCGGCAATTTTTGGAATACCTCGGAGTCTAAATTAATTTATACATTAGTATTCTCAACGCTTGTCCACAATGGCGACGGATAAAGATAAACATATTTCAGTGACGCACTTTATTAATCCACAACTTTTTTGGTTTCACGAAATTAGTGTACCAAATGCCGCTTATCTTGAAATCAAAGAATTAGAAGAGCAACTTGAACGATATTACAAGAGTCATCAACCATGGACACAAGCAATACGCAAGCCTGCCACAGGTATGCTGGTAGCTGTGAAATTTCTATCCTGGCATAAAATGATTCGTGCACGTGTTGAACACATAGCAAATTTCAGCAAAACTACTCAAGGAGGTGAATTTATTATGTGGGCCATTGATTACGGATTCCCCTTTCAAACAAAATCTGAACAAATTTTTCGTTTGCCGGAAAAATTATCAATACCGGTGGAGCATGTACGAAGTGGTGGACTTGCTGATATATTACCAGCTGAAAGAGATTTTGATTTTCGTATGAATTGTGCGGTAACTAATAGCAAAGAGAATTGGAGTCAACGCGCATGTGATTTAGTGGACAAACTGTTGAATGATGCTGAATCTGTGGTGTTTGTTGAAAAATTCGAGAATGAAAATCATGCCTGGGGAGATCTTATAATTACCACGCATTTAGGCGATAAATGTAATGTTCGTGATTATTTGGTTGGTATGAGTTTGGCTGTGGATGCTGGACCCAATTTTATGGAGATTTGCCCAAATTTAAAAGTAACGAAAATTTTGCCATGGATGACGAATAGTGGTAATAGTAAGTTTAGTGCTAACAAAGGATTCCTTTGCCCCAATAATGTAAGTGTTGAAAAGAAAAATGCACAAAAATTAATTTGCCCAGAATTAAATGAATACGCAAAGAAAAAAGTAGAAGACTGGTGTGCCAGAAATGAACTGGCTGATTGTCAAGAACCAGCTGACTTTGATGCCGACATGTTGCTGGACACCATCGCTTTTGATGATTCAGTATCAAATAAAAACTTTGAAACTTGCAAGTCCAAACATGTTGACGCTGGTCACAAACCTAATAAAGGTATGAATACAACGAACTCACACAAGCAAGGCAACATTGAGTTTAATAAAAACCACGGCAGTAATGATAATATACTTAGTGATTTGGAATCGGTTAGCTCATTGAATGTTGACGGAATGCATGAGCAGAAGTTGGCGTTAGCTGGTGCTTTGAGCAAATCTAGGGCAAGTAAATACGACGATAAAGAACTACCGCCAGAACCAAGTGAACTGCATTTCGATATAAGCGCAGATTCTGAGAAATCATTACTCAAAGAAAATGCGGTGCCAAAGGAGAATGAAAAACTACTAAGTGGCGTCGAATCGCTGGCATCGGTGATAACCGGTGTTAGCTCGAGAAAGCAAAAATTACTGGATAAGCGCAAGCAGGTAAGCAAAAAATTTAGTGTGATTCTTAAAAAGAAAATTAATAAATGTTACAATTTTTTTATTTTAATAAAAATTTAACAGCTCAACATGAATCAAAATGTCGAACAAAACATAAATAAAAAATCTCAGCCGGTAATCACCCAGGAACCTAAACATAGCAAAAAATACGATAATCTTATTGAACTTACATCTAATGCAAGCTCAAATTTGGAATCCGATATTGAAAAGCAAATGGTAAATGTCTAAATATATGTATCACGTGTATATTCAATTTAATTTTTCTTATTTTTTTTAGCGTAAAACTACACTTAAAGATACTGAAAGCAGCAGCGTTACTGCCAGTTGCACAAACACATCGGTAGCGAATTCTCGTGTTAAACGCCATTTACTGAATAGACAAAAGTTGCAAAATAAAAAACAACCAGACAACAACTCTGATAGCACATCCACTAACGAACTTTCTGCGCCACAAGCCTCAGTACCATCCAAACGTATGGAATTGCTGAAAAAGGTATTTCGAAACGTATTTTGTAAAACTTAATTACCAATAAATTGTTAAAAATTTTTTTAACAGCAACGTTTAGAGAAGCTTGCACAACATGAAGAACCAAGCTCTACTGAAGATTCATTTAAGGAAAGTGATAAACAAATTCATACAAAGCACCACGGTGCCAAGCCAGCAGTACAGCCAACCAAACCTAGCGCTCATGTTAGTCATTTGTTAAACTTACGCAAAAAGGTAATGCTCAGAGAAGCGCAACAATCCAGTTCATTAATATAATAATTAAAAATGATAGTATTTAAAGAAATTCTTAACATTCGTACAATATTTATATTACTTGTTTTTACCTTGAACAGTATAACAAGGATATAAACCAGCATGAAGCTGCTAATAATATATTGTTTTTGAATCAAGAGGTAAATGAGTTAATTAATAATTTAAATACAATAAATAATTCAGTTTAATAATAACATGCATTGTTGAAAAATTTGTTGTAATTGATATCAATTACTCGGTATATTTATTGAGCTAAAAAATAATAATTAAAAAATATTGTTATCTATTCAAAAAACTATTGTATACGGCCCATATAAGTATTTTATGCGATGAAAATATAAATTCTTAAACATAATAAATGTTGTTTTTGAGAAAACTTATTGTAAGAGTAAAATTCTATATTCAAATAATATATAGGGTAAAGTAAATAAACATATTTTCAGGTTAAGCATATCAAGGATGAGTCACGTTTCGAACTCACTACTTCGAATACACGTCTACGTCCAGCTGCTGAGGTATGTATAAAGAAAAAATTTGTTCGAAAAACTTTTTGTTATACTTAAAAATAATTTAATTTTTAAGAAACTAAGTGAGAGCTCTACCTTCCTTGGTCTACGTATGATACCAGCTGGTTTCGATATTGCAAATCTTCATCATTATAAAAATGAGAATAACCATTGGCATCGTAAGGCGACTACTCGTTTTGATTATGTACCACACGATGAAAAGGATATGGAATCATTGGATGAAGCTATTACAAACGATAAATACAAGAATTGCGAAAAATATAAAGAGAAGATTGCAGCTGTATCAACAACAGGCAAATCAAAGCACACAAACATTTTGGATACTACAGTACCGCAAATAAATGAAAATCCAATCGATTTTGGTTTCACTATTGACCAGGAGAGCAAATCCAAAGTCGCCACTTTGCCAGAGGAATCATCGCCCTCCAGTAGCAGCAAGTAAATTTATTTTTTCACTTTATATAATAATAATTATTGAATCACCCAATATTTGCAGTATGAGCTCACCACTACCAGCAGCAAAGAAATATGGTCGGCGCCGCTCACTCAAGTCACCCACGTCCCAAATGAAGAAAATCGATGAAATATTACGTTCGGCTTATGATGAAAAAGCAGACGGTAATGTTGATATACTAGACTTGAAAAACCTCAATTCCAGCGGCTGTAAGGAAGACACTGACAATACTGAGTTATACTCCGCCGAGGATGGTACTTACGGCACAGCATCAGACAAAGAAGACGTCGATTCAGAACGTAATTCATCGAATAAACGTTCATTGATCAGAAGCAGACTACAGAAGAAACTAGCGGCGCAGAAAGCACACTTGAAACAAATGGAGGATCAGTTAACCCATGAGCTGAATTCACCACAACCCGAATCCTTTCGCATACATCTACCACAAATGAGCGAACTACGCTCGATTGAGGGGGAACATAAGCTAAAAACCAAATTTATCGATCATTTAGTGCTGGCGCATTCAAAAGTTCCGCTCACTGCACTCACAAGCATATCCGATGCATTCTTTCTCAAAGAAATACACGATGAAATGGAAAACATGCGCGTCACCAAACTGTATCGCATACAAGCTTACGCCTGGCCACACTTACTCCGCGGTAATTCGCTCTTTGTCGTGAATCCACACAAGTCTGGCAAAACTTGGAGTTATTTGCCGGCTATTTGTAGTCTGGTCGCTTATCGCCTACAAAGTTGCCGCCTCGTCGATACTTACGGTCCAGTTGCCATTATTTTAATGCCCACATCAGCGCATGTCGAGGTGGTGCATAACTACTGTAAACGTTTACTTTTAAGCGTACGCCCTGCCGTTTCCACAGTCGCCTCATATGGTGTACGCAATGCAAATGAAGCTAAAATACAATTGCTCAATAGCTGTGGCATACTCGTGGCCACACCGGGGAGTCTATTGCGTCTGCTGCGTGACAATGAGAATGAGTCCTTGTTTGATATGGAACGTCTAAAGCATTTAGTTATTGATGATTTAGATTTGATGCTATCGCGTTCGCAGGATGATATAGAAACTGTGTTGAAGACATTCTTCAAATTAGCCAAACGCAAAGAGGCCGGCATTACGCAAACTACCATTGGTTTGCAGTTGGTAGTGACGTCATGTGATTGGGATTCATTGCTTGTGGCGTTAATGCGTAAAGCAAATCAACCATTACTCTTGATCGGCGACTTTATAGAAGCAGCCGTATACGGCAGAGTATCAATATCAATTAAATTGTGTCCCAGCAAGCGTAAGATTTCGACAATATTAGAATTCATCGAACAGAATTCACTTGAAAATGAACGTATTCTCGTACTATGCAACAGCGATGACGACGTGTACGAGGTTGTAGATGCTCTCACCACATCCGCATTCGTCTGCATAGCCTACGACAGTCACTCCTCAGCGGATGTGCGCATCATAATTGAAGAGTGGCGTAAGAAGAAGGTATTAAATGCATTTTTTTCTTAATTTTAAATTGCAATAATTATAAATAATATTTACGATTTTTTTTTAAATGTATTCCAGGTGATGTCATCACGCATACTAGTTTGCGCTGATTCTTCCTTCCCCGAGCTACAAATCCAGAATGTCTCCCATGTTATACACTACTCAATGCCCACATCTTGGACTAAATTCACAGCACGTTTTTCCGCTCTGGCTCAGACATATGAAAATTATGTTAGCAAAAATTTTGAAATGCCCACTGGCGTTGATCGGCCAATAGCACGTTCACTAATATTGTTAGATGAAGAGAATAGCATACAATTACCGCGTTTGATGGACTTTATGAAGAAGCATGATCAATTGAAATTTATACACTCGGATATATTGACCGTGTCCAAGCGTGTACTGGTGGAGCGTGAAGAAACGCGTATTCTACAAGGCACTCGCATGTGTCCTTATGTCTTGGAATTCGGCGAGTGTGATGAGCCACGCTGTGAATTCCGTCATAATCTCACGCGCTTTGATGCTGTCGCCAAAAAGGACAACATCCCGGATGCGGGTGATATTCGTATACTTGTGTTGAAGGTTTGTGGTGTGCATTTTTTTTTATATTTACTAAAAAAAATATTTTTATTTCCTATTACAAACTTTTCATTCCATTTAATGTATGTTCACTATTTGTTATTATTGGTATTATAGTTTTTCAATCTTGATTTTAAATTTTTATTTATTTCTAAAATATCATCTTTATTTATGTATTTAATTTTCTTTCGAATCTTCGAGTTGTATACTTCTATACCTAACACAAATATTGAAAATTTAAATAATTTTATTTAATGTTAGTTACCTAAGCGATTTCATGAAGGTGAGATCAGTTGAACCAATACAACGGTTATTGTGCACTTTCATTTATTTTTTTATATTACCTTTTTCATAATATTTATTTTGTTTTTTAACTATTTTCAACTATTGTATAATGGTCATTTTAATTTTCATATTTCTTTATAGTTTTTAAATCCTTCCAGTTAAAGCTTTAAGCATTTTCAATTAATATATTTTTTACATATTTGAGCATATTATATATTTATATTATTTTTTATATTTTTCCATTATGTTTTTTAATATTTTTCTATTATTTTTTGAATATTTTCTGTTTTTTTGTTATTATTTTTTATTTTTTTTTTATTTGCTTTAAATAAATTTTTACTAGTATTTAGATATTTTTCTATTATTTTTGTAGTATTTATTTAGTTTTTTTAACGTTTTACGTTTAGTTATTTTATAATATTTTTTTTTTATTAAATTTTAAATATATTTCTGTAATTTTTTTAAAATATTTTTCTATTAATTTTATATATACTTGTATAATTTATTTTTTAATATTTATCTATTATTTTTTATTTGCTTAAATTTTATTTTTCGAATATCTTCTATTATTTTTGAAATTTTTTTATATATGACTTTATTTTTTCTTAAATAAGTTTCTATTAGCTTTTAAATGTTTTTCTATAAATTTGATATATTTTTGTATAATTTATTTTTTAATATTTATCTATTATTTTTTATTTGCTTAAATTTTATTTTTCGAATATCTTGAATTATTTTTTTATTTTTTCTTAAATAAGTTTCTATAAGTTTTTAAATATTTTTATATTATTTTTTATATATTTGTATAGTTAATTTTTTTTTTTGATATTCTTCTATCTATTAAATTTTTTATTTGTTTAAATTTTATTTTTTGAATATCTAATATTTGAAATATTTTTCTACTATTTTTTTAATATTTTTCTATTCGTTTTTTATATTTCTTTATTTTTCTTAATAAATTCCTATTAGTTTTAAGATATTTTTCTATTATTATTTTAGTATTTATTTAGTCTTTTTAATATTTTTCGTTTAGTTATTTATTTTTTTTTCTATTAAATTTTAAATATATTTCTGTAATTTTTTCAAAATATTTTTGTTAGTTTTTTTAATTTGCTTTTCTTTTTTTTAATTTTTCTTATTATTATTTTTTTTTTCACTACTTTTATATCTTTTTTTAATATTTTTCTATTTTTATAATACTTTTTTTTATTATTACAATTTTTTACTTTTCTTTTATCTTTTAAATATTTTTCTTTTATTTTTTTTGATATTTTCTCTTGTTATATTTTTTTAATATTTTACTTTTAATTAATTAATGTATAGTTTTTTAAAAACTTTTCTGTTATTTCCTTAAAATAATTTTCTATTACTTTTTTATATTATTCTATTATTTAAAAAAATCTATTTGCTTTAAATAATTTTCTTTTATTTTTTAGTATTTTTCTTTTAGTTTATTTTTTAGTATTTTTCTTTTAGTTTTTTTTATATTTTTCAATTTCTTAAATATTTTTCCATTATTTCGTTTTTAATATTTATTGTTTTTTTATTATCCTTTTATTTATTTTTCATTTATTCTGTTATTTTTTATATTTATTCTATTTTTTTTTTTGATATTCCAATATTATTTTTAATATATTTAAAGTATTTTTTTAATATTCTTAAATTAATGTTATATTTAATATTTTCTATTATTATTTTTTTCTATTTTTCTATTTTTGTAATTTTTTTTTACTCATCGTCCATCTCTAAAAGTTTCATATTATAGCAGTTATAGCAATCATTAATATTATCCTTCTTCGCATTCTAGGTCTTTTCGCCCACACACTACGCCGCACGTTTACTCCAATATCGTTCAGTCAACTCTACTAAATGGCAGGATATACGTCGCTCCAAGGAGGTGTGCAATTTTAGTATGCAAATGAATATGCATTATTTAAAACAAGAAAATTGGAATCTCCACTGGCCCCTACATGTTGGTGACTTGTGTGTGTACAAATACGCCGATACTTATCAACGAGTGCGGATACTTGAGTTGCCGGATGTGCAAAATACAGATCTTATTAAAACCATTAAGTTGACGGTGAAGCTAATTGATGAAGGCAGTATTATATCGAACGTTAAATCCGATGAACTCTATGTTTGTCATGATAAATTTAAAGACTTCCCAGCACAAGCTATCAACATACGTCTGTCCGGTGTTGTGCCCTTCGATAATGAACGCACGTGGAACACAAAAGCCACCAAAGCTGTGCAAAAATGGATAATGACCGATATTAAAAAGAATGAATGCGTACATGTGAGCATCAATTTCACACTGATCGATACGATTTGGGTGAATAATGTGATTGTTATGGAGCAACTCGAACAGGTGGGACAATATGTGTATCGTGTGAATTTGAAACGTTCACTTTTGGAGAAGGATATCGCCGCTGCCGGTGATAGCAAGCGACCAGGTATACGTGAAATTGCTGAGGAGTTGGGTTTGCTTACTGCAGACACCACGCTTAGTGACTCGGAAGGCGAATTTAAAAGTTGTACTGAGAATGATAGCAGTAATTTGATTAAATTCTCATCCAACGACGAGACTATGGAAAGTGAAATACTCGGGAAAGTGGTGAGAGCAGCACAAATAGAAGAGGATGAAGAGGAAAACGTGCAGGGCGCAGAAGGAACGGCCGAACTTGTTAAAATCAATGCGGATAAAGCGGTTGATGTAGAAGAAGATTGGGATGCTCAAATGAATGATAATGATAACAATACTAATGAGGTTAGTGTGCAACTGTTACAATTGAGCAAACGTGCGTTGCGGCTACGCCAACGAAGGAGTTTACTCAATCAATTGTGATGTACTTAAATTTTTATACTTAACAAATTGCAAAAAAAAAAAAATAATAAGAAAACGCATTCATAAAAGTTAATTAAGGCGAAAGTCGTGTTCACTATAAAAATATATCAGATATGCTTGTGAACTATTATTAAAAAATAAGTGGAAATGCACTGTATTTGTACATTTTCATAAGATGTTTGTTGCTGTAGATTCTATTTCGACAGCAGTGAACTTTGTATAAGTTTACGAATTACATGAAGATACCAATAAACCCGTTCTATATTTAAAATTCCACTAATTTCGTCCATTTTAAAATTCTCGACTGCGTTTCTCTAACATAGAATAAAGTTGCATTTGATACAAATATTAATACAAATACATTTTGCAGATTTATCTACCACTTCATGCAATCAGCAATGAAACAGTTGCAAATCCATTAACAACAACAACGTCAACCGCCCAAAATCAGCAGTCTAACAACTCGAATCTCATCAGCTCAACCCAAACTACAGAACCCGACATTCCCGCAACTGTTGAAAATGCCCAAAAGGAATCCCCTCCAACAGCAATAACAATAAGTGAAATTGAAGAACTCAGCACACCAACGCTGCCGTTGGAAAAGGAGGAATGGCTTGTGCTGCCCTTGGAGAAAATTGTCAAAGTAGAAATTGGTAGCGAGTCGGAAAATGGCAATTGGGACGATATTTACCTGCAAAATATCGATGCCGAAAATCTTGTGAAATTCGATGAATTACTCGACTTGATCAATGCACACATTGTCGAGTTGAAGCGTAAACCAGCAATGCCATTTGCCGCCACTTGGTTTAGGCCCATGCAGAATTGTATAGTACACCATGATGATAGATATTTACGTGCCAAATTGTATGGCATTTTCGGCAGTGATCCCAAAGTCACCACCACGGCGACTACTGCAACTGTTTATCGTTTCTTTTTATGCGATTACGCCTGTTTTGTTATGGCTAAAGCTGAGGAGCTGTACAATGATTTCTTGTATCCAACCACCAAAGAGATAGTGGAGTTTACACCATACCAAGCGCTGCATTGTCGCCTCGCTGGCATTAAGCTAATCCCCTTTGCGCATAAGTGTAAAGTAACCAAAGATTTTCTATACGCTTACGCGGTAGAGGCGAGAGAGTGTGCGCCTACGGGCATAGCGGAGTTTCACATAAATTCATATGACATATTGCTTTTCGAAAACGAACTAGAAGATGATTTGCAAACACTGGAATTACTCAACAAAACCTTAATAAAACATGGTGTCGCTCTGGCGGATGAGCAGACCAAACATTTTTTGCATACAAAACTAAAACTACCTGAAGTACCTAAAGATTTGTGTAGCTTCGATGAACTATTGCATTGCATACAACGTTCCTTTGAGTTAGAGTTGGCTGAAACGCATAACGCCGGCGAACCAACACCATTGCAAGCCATTGAGCCACCTCAATTAGCGTCGGAGATAAATTCGCAAGGCAAAACACAAAACGTTGTCAAAACCAATCCTTACAAGCCATTAAAAGCCAAAGGTCCGAACACGTCAAGCGACAGCGATGAGGAGCCTCTCCTATCCTCTACCAAAAATTCAAGCAACAGTGACAACGATCGCTCATTTTCCTCGCCATCTACAAGTGCACAAGACACTACAACAACCTCCGAATCGGCGCTACCACCTGTACCAGCACTGCAAGCTAACTACAAACGTCCACAAGTTTCCTGGTACGACACAGATTGCTTCATATACCTCGTTATACATGCACCAGACATAAGCGATTATTATCTGGAAGTAACGAAAAATACGCTCATATTCCATACCGTCCTACAAGAGACACCATTTGCTTTGGTTCTTAACCTTGTTGGTATGGTCGAACCATCAATGGTTTCACACGAAATACGCGGCTTAAATGTCCTGGTACGTTTGATAAAGGGCGTCTTTATGAAGTGGCCACGCCTGTTGGTGCAAACAACGCGTTATCCTTGGCTGACATACAATTTGAATGCGTTGGATTTGACCGAAGTGGATAAGCTATTGCCGCAACAACAATTGGAAATGATACTACAGAAAACTGAAGCAGCAAATCACAGCTCGAGCTCCGATGAGGAATCCGACGATGAACGCAATTTATTCCAAACATTTACCCCACTCATTAACAGTGAGGATATACATGATCCCACTGTGGAGATTTTGTGAGCCCGACCAACAGCTGGAATTGTGAAATATAAGTTAGGTTTATGTTTAATTGCGTGTGTAGGAATTATGTGCGTCGCAATAAAAGCGCGTACTTGGTAAACACCGAAATTTTTTACTTATTGATTGAAATGAATTCTTAAATTATTTTATTTTATCAAAAAAAAAAATGTGATTTCCACTTCGACTGTTTTGTTAAACGCATTGAATTAATGTTAAACTCATTTCTTTATTCTATTATATAATAGGAGAAAATATTAATTTTTGAATTTAATTTCGATATTTAGATATACAGATATTTACATATGTATCTGAATACGTATTTTAAGAAACTCGAATATAAGTGATTGGATTACAAAAGTATTTTTAAAAATAAAAGCATTATAAATGTATAAATTCGTACATATATACACACCTACAGCCTGGGCCAAATATCTCACGCATACAAGCATATTCAGTATCTGAAATATACAGTTTTAAAAAATATATTTATAACATTTCCTACGTTTAGTCCAGACTATAGACGTGTATATTACAAAAACTTTTATTTTTACCAAAAGTATAGAGAAAAGTATTGCCGTTTCCACCATCTTGGACTTTTCACTCCGTATCCTCCGGTCTGTGACCACTCTAACGATACCCTACATGTGGATGTATATATATCTTCTCTTTGGTGGCAAATGAATTGAAGTCTTGTTGCTACCTGAGCTCAGCAGCTTTCGACACAGTCAATCACGGAGTCTTACTATCGTTAATTGAAGGTTCCTCATTACCGACGGTGCTGAAAAGATGGAGCATGAAATATATGTGTTCATAACTTCAAACAAAGGCCTATGCCACGCAGGGTAGTTCCTTCTCTGCGCTGTTCTTTAATATTTATGCATATTTAGAAATAATATGTAATATTTCGAAGCTGTCCCCAACACTAGGGGCGATACCTCGATATTACGTGTATAAGATAACCGCTTTCTTGTTCCCACAGAACACAATTTACAACTATCACCAGAGAAAGTCACGACAACTCTTGCCAACAGCTTGACGAATGAGTGAGTAGCCACGTCAAACGACCACAAAATTGCGACTTTAAATTACAAAATTTCCTCGGAGAGTTATTAGACAGCTTGCATTTCTTCACTTCGTATATTACTGCGATTGTCACTAAAGTACAGAGCTGCTAGCCGGCAGTACTTGGAGAAAAGAGAAATAGTTGAAGCCAGACTCAAGTTTTAATCATCTATGCTCGCCACTATATGCTCAACTTACGCCATGAACGCAATTAGTTTCTTAAAATCTACCCCTCGTTTTTAAATGTTTTTCACGGAATAACCTTTTGATGCTTCTCCAGCTGTTATTTTCATCGTAGTTAGGATCTTCCTCTTTCCCTATATTCATCGATGGGCTTGCATTTCAAGGTTGGAGTGTTCTCATCCATACGGACCACATAACATAGCCAGCGTAGCCGCTGCTGCTTGATTCGCTGAACTACGGCAATGACGCCGTAAAAGTCATATAGTTCATCGTCCCATCGTCTGCGATATTCGCCGATGCCAATGCACAAAAAACCCCAAATCTTACGCAAAACCTTTCTCTCGAAATCTCTTAAAGCCGACTCATCAGATATTTTCATCGTCTACGCATCGACACTGTATAAACGGGAATGATGAGATCTTTGTCGAGTTTGGTATTTGTTCGTTGAAACGGGTTCTTACTTTTCAAATACCTACCCAGTCCAAAGTATCAATTGTGGACAAAATGATTCTGCTTTGGATTTCTAGTTTGACAGTGTTGTAGGTGTTAACACCAGTTCCAAGATAGGTGACGTAGCGGCGTAGTTGTGAATGCCATTACTGTTCGTTTGTTCATTACCGGAACCTCTACCAGTCTGGAGAAAGAATAATTTACGGCACGGTTGTTGAGGCTAATAATGTCAATATAATCGTGGTTTGCCAACAGTTGTTAACTCTTGCAAAGGATTGTACCTTCTCTATTCTGCGGCTCGTATTAATTTCTCTAACAATATATTGAAGAAGTCATACGATAATGAATCACCTTTGAAACTACATTTGGTATCGATGGGCTCGGAGAGGTCCTTCCCGATTCAGGATGGTGACTTTAATTAACTCATAAAGTCAGCTTCTTTGCGTGCTGACGAAGCTTACTTTTAAATCGACAAAGAGTTTGTGTTTGTCGATAGCTTTTTCTCAGGCTTTCGACGCCTGATGAATATCTGATCAATCGTACACTTTTCTGGTCTAAAGCCACACTGATAAGGATTAATCAGACTTTTGGCTGTGGGCTTTAGTCTTGCATACAATGTGAAAGGACTTAATATGCGAATTTAAAGAGTCTTATCTTACGGTAATTTGCGCAGACTGTGCGGTCTCCCTTCTTGTAGATAGGGCAGAGCACACTTAGGTTCCTTTGATCGCACATGATTTCGCCCGGCTTTATTCTGCAAAGAAGCCGATGTTTATATTCAGGGGTGTTACAGAAAAAGTTTTCTGTCAGAATCAGAATTGAAATCGACAAAATTCTGCTGAAGGAGTTACACAATCCGATTATTGATCTGCATATCAGTTTCGTAATTGAATTTATATCGATTTTAGTTGTTACAGAAACCGATTTATCGGTAAGTTATGTTAATCTTCGCCTGGGCAAATCAAACGTTCTAAAGCTTTAGCATTTCTGTTATAACCACCGAGACTGTAGGTCGAGCGACGGAGATGTTTGATTCATTACCCACAGATCGTTGATAGGAGCCTTCTACCAACAACTATTCCAAAGGCTTCTTTGTTAAGATGATATTGATCTATTAATCTACATACATACAAATTTGATATCAGCAAATGTAAAAGTAGAATCGACTCTGACCGCTCCAGTCGAATGCTCTTATCCCTTAAAATTTTGCGCTTTATTTTCTGACTGGTTTCTCCAAATTCTACTGTGATCCAAACAAAAAAAAGCTATAACAACAAAAATTAAATTGAATTGCTTATCTCGATTTCGCTTATCTTCGAAAAGAGCAAAATCAAGTCGCATAGCGCCATTTTAAAAGGATATTGATTTTCAATTCCGATAAATAAGCAATTCTGTGTCGGTCTCTATATCACCACTGATTTTATCAGTACTTCGCAGCCGTATTTGAATAGTTCAGCTTGATTAAGATTCCACTTCTGATTTTTTGGTATATATAAAGTGTTAAAACTGTGGAGTATCCAATTTACATTGGAAATTTCTATGAAATTAAAAATTTACCTCTATTTAAGGTTTCTTGTTTCACACCAGACAAGCGTAATAATAACAAAAACTTGCCATTTTTGTATAGTGAGTTTTTTTTTATTTATTTATTTATTTTATGTAAACATATTTAGTTGTAAAACATTTCTAAAGGATATCCATTCTGTTAATAATGTTGTAATAAGTATGAATTTGTTGTTTTAATTCTTGCTTTTTTTTCTTTTGCTTCATAATAAACGCTAATTTGAATATACATATCGTTGTGTATGTAAGTATGTATGTAATTATGAAGAGTGTAGATGATTAAACTGAAATTATGTAGGAGATGATCGATCGAGTCATATTCAATTATTTTTGTATACCTACATGACTCTATATGTATTTCTGCACATAAGTACATGTACATATATGTATATGTATGCTGTAAGTATATGGTGAATACATAATATGCTTACAATAAATAACAATAATAAAGTATTATCCATATTGTTCGCTTGATTGATTGATTGGTTGCTTTCATACAAATATTTTATTATTACTATTTTTTGTTTGTGTATTTTTAACCTTTAGTAAAACTACAGTTATTAAATGAAACTCAATTGAAATTTAAAGTAAAATAGGAAATTTAGTTTGTTTTTTATATTTAAGTATACTTTATGTCAGTGTTTTCCATTTTTCGATTGGAAATTATACAAATATTTATGTATTTATTTATATATATGTAGGTATGCATTTAGTATGAAGTGAGCGCATGCGTTATAAGGCAATGAGACGTACTACATATGAACGGAGTCTGTGTGCTTAACGAATGAGAGAACGTTTGTTTTTTTTTTTTTTTTTTTTTGCGATAGAAACGCTTTACTAGTATACGTAATGTAGTTTTTTTTTTATGAAAAGAAAAAAAGTACAAAATACTATTTAAATGAGCACGAAAATGTATTGTCACCAAAACTATAATCTAGATTAATGCTGCTGACATTGAGTTTGTTAAGATTGCCGTTGCTACTGGATGGTAGTAGTTACTTTTTGGCAGTCAACTCTGTGTCGCAGCCAATGATTTTGCTACTGTGTGTGTGTGTGCTAGTTTAGGAGTTGACGTGCGCACTTTAAAGCTAAATTGTGGTGTAGGAAATATTCTTTTTTTTTTATATAACTCTTATTAAGTATCATTACCAAAATCCTACCCTTACCGAAATTTCGATTTCAATTTCCCTCATATTTTATCCGCTTACAACTATTAACATTTACTTATACACTTTTGTAATTCGTTTCCAAACAGTCACACGAAACGATCATACACAAACATACTCAAAAATAGATATAATAATATTATTTAAGTGGATTACATTAATAGTAAGAAATTTTAAAAAGCAATAAAAAAATTTAGAAACATAGTTTACATTAAGTAACGGAACGGTGTTAAAAATTAAAAAAAAAATATCTGAAATAACAAAGTAAAAAAAACCGGTTGAATGGTTTTTTAGGGAACTTTTTAATACAAGTAAATAATTAAAAATAGAAAACACATCAATCACGCTTTGGTAATAGAATAAAATATATATAAAATTAAAAAAATCTTTTTTGAGCTTTTGTTTCGATATTTCATTTTACGATGTCAAGCATGTTTTAATTTCGAATTAGAAATCTTAGGTCTGTCTGAAAATAATATCAGCTTTTATTAAACAAATTTTTATCATAAAATTTTTTATTTCGAAATAACGATTTTTTAATTTTCGAAATACCGATATTATGTAGAAGAGTAATCGATTTTAAGTAAAAAATTAATACGTTTTTCAAAATCATTTTTGGTTTTCGAAACACCGATAATATGAAGAAATGTAATCGATTCTAAATAAAAACTGAAATAAATTTTTAACAATATTTTCGATTTTCGAAATACCGATATTACGTAGAAGAGTAATCGACTTTAAGTAGAAAATTAAATACATTTTTCAAAATCGTTTTTGGTTTTCGAAATACCGATTTCATGCATTTTTATGTTCGAAATACCGATTTTGTGTAGAATAAATAATGTTCGAAATACCGATTTTGTGTAGAAAAAATAATGTTCGAAATACCGTTTTTTAAAATAAAAGAAAAACTATATTTTCAACATTTCAAAGTAACCGATTTTAGGTAAAAAAATATATAAATTTTTTAAATTTCTTTATTTTCGAAATTATAATATTATATTATGTAACAAAGTAAATCTATTTCAAAAAATTTTAATGTGCGAAATTCCGTCTTTATGTATAAAAGTAAAACTATTTTTCAACATTTTAATGTTCAAAATACCGAAAAATTAATGTTCGAAATATCGAAAGTAAATTTATTTTTTAACATTTTAAATTACGAAACATCGATTTTAGTTAGAAAAGGATTTTAAGTAAAACCAAATTAGATACATTTCTCAATAACATTTTTGATGTTCGAAATACCAATATTAAATAGTTAAGTAATGCGCCATATCCGAAGTTGAATGTAATTGATGCAGAAGCTAATTTCATTCAAATAAAATATATATGTATGTTCGAAAAATTAATTTTTAAAAAGGAAATCGGCGAATTTCCCACAGCATTTTGAATATTGGATATACCAATTTCATAGATGAAATTTACTTTAATTTTTCCGATTTTATGTAAACAATTAATTTTACAGGGTGCTTATGGATTATTTAAGCTAACTTGCAGCGAAAAGAAGGATCTATAAGTTTTAAATCAGATATTGTTGCTATTATCTTTTAATTAATGACAAATAATTTTAAAAACAGTTTAAGTAACGTTAAGTGATTTTGAGATATGCTAGTTGTAGGAAATATATAAAAAAAAAAATATTATTTTTATTTAATATTGTCTTTTTGTGTCATTTTAAGAAAGTAAAGAACGCTAAGCGTTTTCGAAAAATAAACAAAAAAACATATTAATTAACTTGCATAACATTTAAAGCAAAGATAAACAACTAAAACGGATTTATGTAACATAACTTCCTGAAGTTAACCATAACCTAGCATTTAAAAGTTTTTCATTAAAATTGTAATATAAGAAAATATACACATTCATACCCGCACTTCATACCACTATGATTTGGAAATGTTAATAAGAAACGAATCTTCGTGATTTCATGTGCTTGCGCAGCAGGTGTATCTTACTTTTTCGTTCTTTTTCCCTTTACTTTCGAGTTACGCTATAGTAATAATGATTAAATTACAAATTCGCAACTACACTCAAACGCGCCATTCCAAATTCGGTATGTGAAATGTAATGTAATTATGAATTACGCTGCATTATTGGCCGCATCACTGAAAACGTCCGTTGTTGTTGCAGTTGCTGCATCATTCTCCATTCTATTCGTATTTGCCTTTAACGTCTTCGTGCCGTTCTTGCTGTTGTTGTGAAAGTCATGCTGCAAATAATTCACTTCACGTCAAGGCAACAATAATGGTTTGAAATAAGCTCGACAGAAGATTGTAGCCGCCGATGGCGGAAAATCTTGATTGCGATAATACATATTACACTCCTTCTCGGTCAACTTATCGAATATTGCCGCATATTCACGATGAAATGTCGCCAAATCGACATTGGAGCGACCGATGGCGGTTAGCGCTAAAAAGAGTATATCACGATAGATGGAGTGTGTACGATCGACGCCGTTATTTTGCAGCTTGTGGCGTTCGTTGGCCAAGCGTTTGACGGGCGTTAAGAGATCATTGCAACGTATAGAGGAAATGATTTGTTGTATGACGCTGCAAAATTGAAAAAAAAAAACAAAATAGATATTGACATAATATTGTACATTTTTTCTTCATAGGGAGTGCGCTTACTTCTTATTCAAATGCGCTTGATCGGTGAGCAGCGCCTTCAACAATGGACTGGCTGGTTGATTTTGTTTATAGAGTATATACATGGGCGGTCCAGCCTCGCTGTGTAGGCTTAAATTATCCCATAAGCATTGTATGCTTACAGTCTTCACTTCACTCAGTGGTCCACTTTCCGCCTGGCGAGAGAGAAAAATTAGATTTTAATAAAAAAAAATTATACATGCATTTGATAATCACTCACCGGCACCGGCAGACATAGTTCCGGTAGATGTGTTTTACTCTCAATACGTTCCATAATCCACAATAGGTTCCAATAAATAATTGGATGCTCTTCTACAAATGTTGGCTTTACCAATGCAATATCACCCTCTTGTGTAAGTATATTTTCGAGTTCTTTACGCAATACGAGTGGATTTAGATATGGAATTGTTAAACTGTCCGATTGCTTGAGTGCCTTTAAAGAGTCGTCAACAATAATTTGTACACTCAAGAATGGCACAGTTAAGCGATGGCATGCGTGACAGGTTGCATTCAAATTGGAATCTTCCGCTGACCAACCGGACATAATCTCTTCGTCGTAGAGTAACACTGAACAATTGTGGCATTTTGAACAGGATGTTATTTGTATGAGTATATCACATTCGGGACGTTCCACCGTCTGTAATTTTGAGGTTAGGAATTGTATGTTTTAGAGGCAGAATAAATGCAAGGGAATTATAAAAATTTAATAATAATGAAATTGATAAAAAATGAATAACAATAAGTTCAAATATAAATATAAAAATAGTAGATTTTACATAAAAAAGTAAATTTTAATACTGAAACAAAAGAAAAAGAAAAAAACATTCAATTTAACAAAAAAAGGTATAATTAATAAAATAAATTACAACGACATACGTGAAGCTACAAAATAATTAATAACGAGATAATTATTAAAATTCTATGAGGCATCACACCAAAACTCACATCCGCCAATGGTGTATACAAATTTTCCGGTAATACTGGAAATGCGCTTAAATTCAACGCTGACGTATTTTCACCGAGCGGCACCAAATTATTATAGCTCGACTTGCGTGACTCACTCAACCTGCCCCATGGGTCTAAATCGCTCGACACACGACGCATTTTCAACGTGCCATCCTCATGACTAATCATATCCTCTTCACCGGTGCCCTCGTTGTGAGCAACGCTGCCCGGTGTCTTCACCGGCGTTGTTTGCGCTGAAAATGCGCCTTTAATCTCATCGAATTTACGCGTCAACGAGTTGGCAGCATATTTAATGCTACTCAAGCTACCCTGTATGATCTCATTCGATTTTTTGCTGGTTAAGCTTGGACTGAAAGAGTGGGTTATATATAATATGTAGTTGAATGTGTGCTAAAAAAATATATTTTTTATGCATTGAAAAATAAAATTTTCGGAAGCTAAGCAGAGTTTTTGTGCAAAATATAATTTTCATTTTCGAATAATGATTTTTTTGTTAGTAAATGCAAAATTTTATTGTGTACTTCGAGGAAACTGTTTTTTTCTTGTAAGTTAAAAAAAAGCATTAAAAAATTAATTTAAAGAACAAAATGTTATTGAAAGTTAGTAAACTGTAACATAGAGGAGTTGATAATATTTAAAAAAATTTTTTATAAAAATGACAAATGATGCAGAGATTAGAGAAAGAAATCAATATTCATTTTTTTAGTGCATTTTTTGCTACAAAACAATATCACAGGTGCACAAAATCATTAGGCAAAACAAAAAAAAATAATAATAAAATATTATATCGTCACAAAATATCACATAATAATAAAATATCATATAATAATATATAAATAAATAAAAAAAAGTTTTGTTGAAATAAAATACAATTTTCTTATGAAACTTAAAATATTTACACGCAGAAAAAAATTAATATAAATTCTAGAGAAATTTCGTTTAAATTATACCCAAAAGAATTTCAACTAAAAATTTAATAATATTAAATATCTGCCACCAGACGCCAAAAATGTGTTTTTAAAGAAATTTATTATTAAAAAATTAAAAGTATACATATAAACACTTATATATTTGCAAATATTTTAACTCATACTTGGAGAAGCTCAAATTCACTTATCTAAAATCAACATAAAATTTGTGCGAAAAAAAGACAAAAAAAAACGTTAGTGAAAAACCATCACCCCAATTTGTGTAGAAAAAAAGAAAAAAAAAGTAAAAAACAGAAATGCGTTCTTCGCAACAAAGCAACTAAAGTTGAGTAGTGTGTGGTGCCGAAACCAAAACACATAACAAAACCAACAACAGAAATAGGCACAGAACATGAACTTAATGCACACACACCGCCACAGTAGTAAAACTGTATTATTTTTTTTTATTTTGTGACTTGCGGTGGCACTTACCTTATACTCGAAATATTTTCTATAATAATGTTGGGCTTGAAACTGTCTTTCTTAAATGAGAATCGTGCAGGTGAATAACGTCTACGAAAACATGGTACATTAAAAAATGATTTCATTAAAAAGTTTAGGGGGAAAGTGGTAAGTAAATAAAATAAACAAATATACATATATAGCAAATTAAAATACATAAATATATAGTAATAAGTAAGTGTATTAAAATTATAAATAGCGCACTAATAGATTTAGCAAAAAAAAAATATATATATAGAAAAAATGAGCTTATTGCGCCGATTGCTTTGCAAAAAATAAAAAAAAACTTATAAAAAATGTTTGCAACTGTCATGCATTAAGTTGGCGAAATAAAAAAAAAATATATATATAATAAAATCTGCATTTGTAGGTGTCAGCAGTATTTGTATTGTTTATAGCCGATTTTAAGTTTTAAGTTTTTTGCTTTATTTTTTTTTTTATAAAATCTTAGGTTAAGAAAATTAGCGCTTTACTACTTGAAATGAATCTATTTATGTTCATATTTGTATGTATGTATGTGTCTACTGTGTAAATAGTTACCCGATATTAAATTTAATAGATGAACCGAAATTAGCTAAGCTCGAGGCGACGCTTGTACCAGGCATTGTCTCCGAACGTTGCATGCTTTTATTCAAATGTGTTGATTCATCGAAAGTGGCGCTGCGTTGACCCTTAAATAATATAGGCTTATCAGTATACAAAATACTGTTAGTATGACCAACAACATTTTGTACGCTTGCCACTTGCTCTTTGGTGTTTGTGGGCGTTGTTTGATCTTGTAGCTCTTCGTTTAAAGCGCCGAGCGGATCGTTTTGTGTGACCGGCGTGCGTGGTGAAAGTCTGCAAATTGTTAAAAATATATATATATTTGTTTAAAAATTTTTTTTTTCAAATATTTCCCCCATAATTACTTTGTTGGACTCTGCAAATTATGTAACTGCTCCTCCCTCAAATCCATCGCGTTTTCCGTCATATAGTCGAGCTCTTCTTGGGAGCTGGCTATTTCATGTTCCATTTCATTTTCCTTCAACGTCAATCCATCGCAAACTTCATCTTCGCCATCACCTATATTCATTATTTTATAGCGTTGTCCGCCAACTTCACTGGGCAGCGATTGTTTGCGTTGTAATTTGTTCAGCAGCTGCGCATCGCCACCGAAACTTTCGGTTTTCGTTAACTGCAGTTTACCGCCTGCGCCAACTACAGTCAAATCACAGCCGGGACTGTGTGGGCTATTTGGTGTGTGCGGTGATGAAGTGGTTGTTGGCGCTGGACTATGCTCGTTGCCTGGGTTTTCAACCGACGTACTTGCACAGGTCTTGCTCTCGCCAGATATGAGTAGACCAGCTGTAGAGCTAATCACATCACCTGATGGATCTTGCGCGCCCATGGCCAACGCCGACTGTCGCACAATACTACCTAATTTACTGCGTAATTTATCGAATGCTGAGAAATCGAGTAAAGTGGCATGCGCATCACCCGCGCCACGTTCGGGATGTGAGGATGCCGATGAGTCGAGGCTTGTCCGTGAAGTGCCATCTACTGTTTCCAGCGTGCTTAGATTATTTTCGTATGATGCGGAAAGTGGCTTTTTGGCGGCATGTCGTTTGCCGGCACGCCGAAAGTGCGCTGCACCGAGTACTACATTTTTAATGCGAGTCCAACGCAATTGGCTAACTGTGGTGCTATCGCTAGGCCATTCCGATTCGAGTACGCAACGATTGTAAAAGCCGTATGTCAGTGCGTTCGGTTGTACGCCAGAGCGTTTCATCAAATAATGCAGACGCACCGCCAGAACGGGTAAATTGTGTATGCCACATAACTGCATCATGATGCGATAGCAAAATTCATCACATGTTATTTTAAGCTTAGAGGCGCGCACCAGCATATCGTAAGCGGCGCGTAGTGTATCATGTTCTTTATTCGCCTGGCGCGTCTCATTCACCATGGACGGCAATATGAGGAAGTAAATTGAATAACATGTGGCTAGTAAATATTTCGACCATGCCTCCGGATGTAGTTGACAACGCCGTGCCATTTTCTGTGACAATTTAATTTCGTGTTTTGTGCGGCGTGCTATTGGTGAACCAGGCGCCAGTGAACCATTCAATTGTTGTTGTAGAAAATTCGTTAAGGCAGTCTTTTTCGATGATTTCAAGAGGATGGGATTAAGTGTGAAATTGGCGTAGTTATATACCATGCCAGAAGTATCTGAAGTGAATGAAATGGAATTTAAACAATTGTATAAATGGAAAGAAATACAATTCATACCTTGCTTAGGCCCTACACTATCCGGTGGAAATATATATTTAGTACGTTCACTATTTTGCCCCGACTCCCAGTCGACCAAACGCAAGTCAGTTGGTGTATCATCGTATGCGCCGACCTTCTCGGCACACTCATCAAAAAATGTCAAACCATGATCACCGTCAGAAACAAAAGAACGTTCTTCAATAAAACGTATAAACATTTGTGTTTTCATGAGAAGCTCAAAGAATTTCTGATGTGCCTTATCGCGTGATCGTAAGAAAGCCTTCAGTTGAAATAAGGCACTTGGATCGGTGGCGCCGACAGAAGGCGCCTTTGATATGGGCGTTAAGTAGTCGCGATAACCGCGTAAAATTGATGCCATGAAAAGCAAAAAGGCCTCCTGTATTCGTTGTTCGAGGTCTTGCTGAAATTTTGAAGTAAATAATAGCGATTAGTAATTAATTTCGTTTGTATTTAGTGTAGGGTACAAGAAAATATAAATAAATAAATAAATCAATAAAATTAGTATAGTTGTTTTTGCACTATAATAAATTAACTAAATTGACAGAAAAGATAGTAAGTAAATATTTTAAATACATTCGATAAGATAGATACCTCGCGCTTTCGTTTTCTTAGATCCCTATCAAGGCTATTGGTTGATTCGATGTGTGTTGTCTTCAGTGCTTCTAATTCGTTGAGTGTTTGTCGTAAAATACGCGCAGCACGTTTAGGCAAAAGTTTTATCGTCAAATGTTTTTGTGATTCACACAACTGCATTGCAAAATAAACACGAAGGGTAGATAAGAAAATATTTATTATGCTAAGCGTAAAAATGTACACTTACGCTGATCGTATTTGTATCCAAGTCGATACAAGTAACATCTTGTGGTGGCTCATATAAATCGAAAAAACGTGAATCTACACCAATTAAGTAGGGTAATGGTGCATGTAAGACTTCCGCCAAACCTAATGGGCAGAGTGGAATATAAGGACATTGCCATTTGAATGGAAAGAGAAGCGAAACAATAGCTTCACCAACTGCTGTTAGCGTGGCGGGTCTAAAAAATTAAAATTTTTTAATATAATTGATAAGAGAAATATTATACAATATAAATACCTCAATGAGTGTATTAAAATTTTTTGCTCAGTCAAAGCAAGGAGCATCACATGCAGGCAATTATCTGTGCCCAAATTCTGTAGAAGCATATGAAAGCCAGCACCGCTACGTGGTAAAGGCGAGTCTTCCGGTTGCGTAAGCAAAATACGATGTTTAGGTTCGTTTGAAAGCTGTAATTGTATATGTAGAAAATATGTTTTATAGATAAACCTACAAAACATTTCCGCATATTTACTTGTAAATGTATGCTGGGCGCTGGAAATGGCACTTCATCCAGTAATTGCGTTATATAACGTTCAATAGAAACGGGCAAATCCACACCATGCACCGCCAAGTCCTAGAAAATATTCAAATTAAATTAAACCTCCCATTGCTATTGTTAATATTTCACTTTTGCACTCACATGCAAGTAACGCAGCCATCTGTCGAAGGTATCACCAAATGGATAATGGGATAAAAGGCATATCGATTTAATTATATGCAATGAATGTTGTTTAGCAAACTCTTCATTCCAACTTAAAAGTTCTTGTTGTTGCTCAGTTAACGCCGATTCCCTGTGGAATAAATATATATGCATACATATGTTTGTTGGTTGTTTTATCATTTAACGCTGAACTAATTCACTTACTCAAAATCTTCATAGAATGTTAACGCAGATCCATAAACTTTATAAGTGCCATCATTAACGGTTAGTACAAATGTACTGAAAACCGGACTTGTGGGTTTACGTTTTTCAACTTCGCTCACATGTGGCCACGCCTCCAAAGAGGCACCCATAGGCAGACAAAACAACGGCACACTTGGGCACAAATTTAAAGGAAAGTCATTATGATCTACAGTTGGGTAACGTAACAATATTTCCGGCTGATAACTGATTAATTTTGGACGGTACATGGATTTCTTGTAGCATAAATAAACATCACTGCCCATATAGCCCCTATTGAGCGTTTTGTAGATAAGGCAGAATGCATGTGGTGGTCTTTCACCTTTACTTTGCACAATCACACACAAATCGGTGACCACGAGTTCGTTGCACGGCATATCAGGACGAGCACGTCGGTAGGTAAGAAATGTTTTCGATGAAGAATTATTGACATTTGCTATACGACCGCCTGGTGTTTCGGTGACAATTTTAGCATCCGACATAATGCGTTCTTGCCCATCATATAATACACCTATGATATATTTTCTTTTATAAAATATTCACATAATTTAGTACATGTACACATCTTACCTATATCTACGAGCGGTGGTCGATCTTTTCCACGCCTATAGTATATGTAACACTCTGTTGTACGCATGGATCCATGATTGAGATTCGCAGGTATTCCGGTCGGTGTCGCCTCCAATACTTCAAAACCTTCTGGCACTTCTTCATCCAGTAAGGGAAAATATACACCAATATCTGTGATGGGTTCTATTGTGTTTGCGGCCCGCAAATGTCCGGATTCGCTAAAAATATTTTCCTGTAACAGTTGAGGATGATCTGGCATACCAGCGACTACAAAATAGTCAGCAATCCGTTTTTCTTCCATCGTGCTATAGATTAGAGTATAAAAATAAGAATAAAAAAAATTATATCGCAGAGCAACACAACGATTTTATATCTATATCATTTGCACTTTGTTTTTATTTGACGTTTTCATCGCCTTTGTTTTGGTCACTATCAGCACACACAGCAACCAATAAAAATTCATTTAGATATTGCTGCCATTCACAATAGCGTACAATCAAAAAACATACACTTGCGAGTGGAATTGTGGAGGTAGAATGATTTTTCTTCTTATTCACATTGCAACAACCTGTTCTTCCCACCTATAAAAAATCCTTCGCTATACTTCAATCAATGTTTGCGAAAACGCCTTCCTTATATCAAGTATTTGACAAGGAGCTGGTTCAAACAAGTTCGCCTTTGCAACTTTACTCCGAGCAATGATTCACCGCCCCGTTACTTCCTCATCTATTTTCCAATTCTACATTTGGTGTCGGGGTCAAATTACTAGTGGCCCCTACTACGAACGCTCGTTGGAGAGAAGCATTTTACTATGATTCTCATATTACATTTAATGATATTCCAATGAGTTACTAGTATTTATTAATGAAACTCACTTTAATTGATTTTGATAGGCTTTCCAATCTATGATTCAATTTGCTCATTAACTAGCCTCCTGCCTTTTACTTCTGTCTTGTACTCCTTTTACGTTGTGTGCTTCTTAAACAAAGATTTTCACAGCACTGCGTAAAAACTATATTGGACTTTTACATCACCATTGTTCACTTAAATACTGTTTAATTGATGTACAATTATGAATGTATTTTTAAAAACACTTTTCAGATATTCCAACAAGAAAAAAATTCGCAATTGCTTTACTATTGGAATTTATTTTTCTTTGCAAAATAAATTGGTTCGCTTACTGGCAAATGGATTAAAACGTTGCCACCTAAGAGGATGGTAATTTACAATTTTCGCTTAATTTAACCTGGTTCATCTACAAATATTATAAAGTTCTGTGAAAGATTGTGGCAATGGAAAAAAATTTAATACAAATTGAGCTATTTAATAATGTAAAAAGTTATCATTATAAAGCAAAGAAAAACTTTTGAAGACTGGTATAAAATCCCAAAACTTACAAATCGTTTAGTTGGCATCATTATAAATGGTAACAGCAAAGAAAACACCCAATGACATTTTTTTATACCATATGCAACTTACACATGTATGTATTAGTTATGTACATTTTCAGCGGCGGAATATGACAGCATTATATAGTTGGGGTATATTTGCATGGTAAATAATTATTGAATAGATTTTCTGCCTAGTTCCTATGCTAATATGGGCTAAAATATTTCATTATTAAAGGATAGTTTTTCTTAAATGTAAGATTTAACATTTCGCAGCAATTTCCGTAGATGAAGATTTTACAATTTATCATAACAACATCTTGCATGAAGATCTCTTAGTTATTCACATTTAATCCCGACATATCCAATGTAATGATTTCCAACGCGGCACTAAATATCTCTGTGTATGCTCTTTTGAACCTACCCGTCTCGGACCTCTCTCTCCCTGTGTTCATAACTTCCGTTAGGGATTGGGTATAAATAACGTGTTTTTTAGGTCTTCCAGAAGCCCTCTCTGGAAAGTGTTATTGTTTTACACTTCCTGTCATTTTAGGCTACATATTTATTAGACACTATTTTATATATCGACTAAAATATTATAAAATATTTATGAAATAAGTAATTTACTTTGCACTTGCTTCCACCACTAGGTACGTGGCTATGGCCTAACGTTAAACTAATTAATTAAATTATCCATTAATTAGTAATTAATAAAATATTAATTCTTATTTCAACCAGTATCTAGGCTTTCCTTACTCATTTCATTTTGATTTCCGCTTTGACTTTCTTGCAATTTAAATCTGGTATAAACTGGTCTACTTGTATGAAGACACAAATCTAGATATTGTTTTTGAAATGTTGGTTAAATTCCGTGCAAGTGCATTTCTCTACGCCAGGGCTCGTAAATTTTAATAAAAATTTGATGTGAATAATATTAAAACAGTTCAATAATACATGGCTTTTGGTAACCAGAGCATTCACCTTTGCAATCGAAACAAATACAACTGCGGCCCGACCGAAAGAACTAATGTGATTTATATGTATACCTTCATACCTATTTAAGCTGCAAACGTTCCTCTTCTCCTTCACTTAACTCCCAGTAGTTGTGGGAAAACAACGCGGGCTTCATAGAGAAAAATCAGTAAAATATTATAGCTATAAATAAAGTGATAAGGGATGGTGTGGCAAGCCAACTATTGTACAAATACTCTGTGAGCGGAAGTGAAAATTAAGAGCTAGTGATGCTTTCCAAGCAGCGGTAAGTGTATGAAATCTCTTTCAAAGGATTTTCTAAATCACATTGCTAGTTGTGCGTTGCTGTCTATGAGTGAAGGTTTATTAAACATAATGTAATGTTGAAATGTTTATAATTATAGTGATATCCCTTTAACCAGTAAAGTTAGAAAATGCCATATATATGAATGTAATTATTTGCCGATGGAAAATTACATCTTTGGTTCAATTAAGATAAAAACAACAACAACAAAGAAAAACCAGTGATTAGTATAAATTGAAAAACGTTTAAAAGCTATAAAATATATGCACCTCTATAGATAAATTAAAGCTAACCAAATTTTGGCGGAAGGTATTTGAGTATTAAACGTATTTGAGTAGGATAATGCCGGGAGAGGCAAACTAAGATAGTGAAAAGTAAACAGTAATTAAATATGTGTTAATGTATGCTGAACGCGAAGGCACCCCAATATCATCAAATAGCTCCTATAGAAACTGACAAAATCAGCTGTTTATAAGCTTACCCTGCAAGAACAATACACTCACATACAGCAAATTTTTTGAATTATCTTTCTCTTCTACGTACATACAAATTGAAGGAGAATGCAGTTGAACGGTTAATTCGTTTAATTTTATGGTCTTATTTTCGAGTAGATCACCATTTTTTATCGTTTTTCCGTTGTAAATAGAAGTGAAAAATACATGATAAAGATCCTGAACAAGGTATGGTAGTAATATATTTTGGATTAATGAAGTACTGTATTTTTCATTACTCCTTACATTTTTTAGTTAAGGGCACCCCATATTGTACAGAGAATTCAGCTAATGAAAGAGGTTGACTGGTATGGACACTTTTTACCTTGCAGCAGCAGCAGATCTCAAAAATGTTTAACAAAACTTTGGGAGGCACAACTGTATTTAGACAATAATAACATTATTATAACATTATATTTTCCACTTAGATGTCTTTATACTTCAAAGGAGCTGCGATTATGACGGAGGCGTTCGTGGAGCTGCGGTTTTGCTTATAATATTTTGCTGATTTTTGAAAACGAATTTATTGTTGTGTTGTTATTTCCTTTCTATGTTATATAAATCATGTACCTGATGTATTTAAAAATATCAGAAAAAGGACTGGATCTTAATAATTCTTTTATGTATGTATATATATATGTAGGAGAAATTTTTGTCAATGCTGCTTTCCTTCGGCATCAACGCTGCCTTTCATCTGTGTTCGGGTGACGTACAAGCCGTCGGCGGCCGCAGAGAGCCTAGGGGTTAGCGTTGCGTACTGCCATTCGGAAGGCACGTTCAATTAACCGTGCGACCAACATCCACAAATTATAGAAAATTAATTTTAAATAAAAGATTAAGTTAAATATTCCAATTGCGGTCGAATCTCGGCAGGGAATGTCCACTCCTCCGAGTGTATTTCTGACATGAAATAAAGGCTCCTCGCCAAAAAAACATCAATCGTTCTGAGGGGGCTTAGTATAAACTATAGGTCCCTCCATTTTTTGGAAAAACATCAAAACATCATCGGAAGCCTTCTTGCAGGTTGCTCGTTGCTTATATTTAATAGTAATATTTTTTTTTAAAGCAATTCAATATGAAAATTACCTAAAATTTGTATTCTTGCAGAATTTGTCCTATGTGGATTTGTTAATCAGCTTTAGTTGTGTTCATTTTATGGTTAAATAAAAAATTTACAAATATAATAACTGCACAAAAATGGTACAAAGAGATAAGAAAATATATACATATGTTTCTTCTACATTTGAAAATGAACTCCATTAAGGCACTCACAACTTGATAGGAGAGTTAGAGGTGGTGTATTCTACTTGGCTATTGTAGTGACTTTCAGGTGGAGATATCTGCTGTTATGGAGGCAGCAAAGCAAATCGGAGTCAGCAATAAAGTTGAACAGACCATCTTTCTCGTGGTTCCCTGCTCATAGGAACATCGAGGGAAAACTGAGAAGCAAATTAAGTTGCTAGGCAAGGTATTCGATGAGTGCATAAGTTCGTGCCTGATTTCAAGTGCAAACTAAAATTGAAATTTTTTGAAGAAAGCGCTTTTATTAATCCATTATGTATTCGCCATCATGTTCGGCAATCCACTCCCAACGTTCAACCAATTTACGGATACCTGATTCATAGAAATCCATTCAAATTGTTCTGCAGCGATCGAAACAAATGATAATCAGAAGGTGCAATGTCGGGAAAATATGGGGGATGCGGCATGATTTCCCAATTCATCTCCTTCAGTTTGGTCAGGGTCTGTTTTGCAAGTTGTGGCCTGGCGTTGTCATGATGGAAAATAACTCCTTTGCGATTGGCCAAAATCGGACGTTTTTCATCAATTGCTTTTTTCAATTCGTTTCTCCAGCTGGCAAGAGCTCGAAATAGATCATGCCTCGGATATCCCACCAAATGCACAGCAGTACCTTCATCGGTTGCAATCCACCTTTCGACATCGGTTCCGCCCCTTCGTGTGCCTGTTTCCATGTTCTTTTGCGTTGAACATTGTTGTACAGGATGCATTTTTCATCACCAGTCAAGAGCCGATCCAAAAAAGGTTCGTTTTTGATTCGTCGAAGCAAAGAAATTGCTGTTGACATACGGTCCACTTTTTTTTTCACTCAACTGATGTGGCACCCATGTATCGAGCTTCAAAGTGTACCCAACCTTTTTAAACGACAAAACGCAGTTGATTTGTTGACGTTCAATTCACTGGCAACCTCTTCCGTCGAAATACGTGAGTTATTCGCAACTAAAGTCCTTAGAACATCGTCATCAAGCTCAGAAGGCCGTCCACTGCGAGGTTGATCTTCGAGGTTAAAATCTCCAGAACGAAATTTCGCGAATCATTTCTTTACTGTGCGGAGTGCTGGAGCACGGTCCAAATAAACTTCGCGAATATCTTTAGTTGCAGCGCCTACTGTTTTTCCTTTGCGGAATTCGTATAACATAGTATGACGCATATGATTTTTTTCGTTGTCCACTCAAATCAAAATGAAGTTATTTTATGTTCGATTTACTGTTCGGATTGTCACCTTTCCAACGATATATAATATGTATATATATCTTTCACGGGCGCCACTCTCAAACGATTCGAACGGGAACGGAATCGGGCACGAACTTATGCACTCATCCAATACGAATAAACAGCTGTAGGATTAATGATAAGGAAGAAACGATCACCCATATTCTTTGCGACTGTCCTGCTTTGGGCAGTGCTAGGTTTCGGAATTCTTGGAGCCTACTTCTGGATAGTGTACCAAAGAAAACCATCATTATTAAAGTAATGGATTTTGGACAGCGTAGTGTAATGGTCAAGCTTTTGTGACATTGCAATGGGTCTTATTCAGGCACAAATGTAATCGAGCCTATATAACCTAATCTGATGGTAGCTGATGACCTGGATAAAAAGGGTGTTCTCTTAGAACAGCACGCAACTGTAGACCTACCAGTCCCGTACAGGAATGTAATGTACAAGAAAACGTCCAATAAGCAGAATCGCAAAAAACTCTTGTAAAAACATAACGCGCTAGCGAAAAACAATTTAGACCTCAGGCTGAGAATGGGACTACTAACGGGGAATTGCCCGTTGGCAATACATACCTACAACAGAGGTCTAGTAGAGGCCAAAAAAAGGCCAAATTCAGGGAATGTGTGGATACAGTCAAGTTAGTACAATGAGAACAAGAGAGCTTTTCAAAAGCAGCACAGAAATGAATGGGAAAACAGCAATGCCCTCGATCATGAAACCACCTTTTCGGACGTCTCAAAGCTCCATGGAAATGTGGGCTGTGGAACCTACTCTTCGATACTCTTAATAAATAAGAACAAGAGACTATTAGATCACTGCAGCGACTTTTAAGTAGGAAATCATGGAAGCTGCTCAAATCTACAACAGCAGGACCAATAGGTTCGATATGAAAATCATAACTTTTTAGCCGTCTAGAACGGTTCTCCATTTACATAACGACAGGCATAATAACAGGGTACTGTTTGATGGGGCTTCACGGGAAAATAATCGGCTACAACTCTAATGATTTTTGCCCTAGCGGCAGGAACGAAGAATAGGAAGAGTCTGTTAAACACTACCATTGACATCTGCGCAACACAAGTTCCTGGGAAATACTTCTTAGACTAATACGCTTAGCTAGCTTCAGCGAAAACTGAACACCTCGTTGCTTTTATAAGGTACACGAAATGGTTTGAACATTTGAGAAGGTGAAGTCAGAAGCCTCACAGCGGCATCACAATTGAGTTATTGACCAGCGTGCGCTGGTAATGATCAGCAGCCGCATCAACTCAAATCAAATCATATACATATGTATATATATATAGCTGTATGTTTGTATATGCGTTCGTAAACAAACTGTTTTCCCCGTATCAGTATTTTCGAATACAGCTGCAAGCCAAGTATAACAACAATAGTGACCGCATCATTCATCATTCAGTTTAAGCCCAGGGGGTAATCAAAGCAGCTGTCGGTCATGAGTTGGAAACAACAACAACAAAGTGGAAGTATAAATACTGAACAAATAAGAGGAAAACAGAACATGTTAATATCCCTGCTAGCTATGTACAATACAAATAGTTAAAAGGGGAGATAAAAAAAAATTAATAAAAACAGAAATAAATAAGAAAACAATAACAAATTAAAGCAACAAAAAATAGAAAACAGAAAATAGAGTGCTGCCTGGTTGCCTTGCCGTACAAATATTCGTAAATATAAAATGCGAAAATAAAACTTTTACTAAACTTTGCTTTTGTTGCTGTCCAAGATGTTCTTCAAGCGTAACCGCATTTACATATTATTGCCTCTTAGTACCCTACGCAACAGAAGTGTTTCAAAAGCAACGAAAGTGAATATGCATTTAACGAAGGCGGGGGGAAAAGAAAAAAGAAGAAAATATTCTCCAACGTTATTGATGGACAACTGGTAGAGTAAAAAAAAAAAAAAAAATGTAGAAGTACACTGAAATGAAGAGCTGAACTGGTGTATAAAAATACT